AGTTTGTGCTGCTTTTTTCTGGAGGCGCCGAGCTGCCCATCTATCCTGCGGGACCGTTCTTTCAGACAGGTAGGCCTAAATTTCGTCATGCCAAGACTACTTTTGTTGTTCGGCATCCACTTTTATTGGATCATCGACTTCATCTTCCTGGTGTAAAACCATGCTGCAAGATCCCTTGGAAAGCTGGATATAGGGTTGTTCGATGATTTCTACTGGAATCTTTCGGTGAATGGCAGAATATGTTGTTGGTGCCAGCGCGTCAGCGGCAGAATTTTGAGTCGAATTGCCATGTTATTTCCTGGACTTGTTTTAGGTAAGCATCCATTTGCATCATAATCTCCTTTAAATTAGCTGGCGACGAGCTGAGAATCGCAAAAAGCATGAATATTTTTTGTTCCAACTTCTTTGGCGAGACGAATTCCTGCGAGCAAAGCTTTGTACTCGACGTCATTGTTCGAGGTGGGGAAGCCGAGCTTGAATGATTGTTCAAGGACTTCTCCTGTTGGCGATTTTAAACAGATGCTGACTTTTTATCCTTGCTTCGAGGATGCGCTGTCGACATATAAATTCCAACGGTTTTCTGTAGGTGTTTCGTCATTTAGTAGATATGGCGGTATTTTGATCATGAAGTGAGCTAAGACTTGAGATTAAGCACTCGTGTGAGCTCGGTATAAAATGCCGTATTCGGACAGCTCTATTGCCCATTTAGCCATTCAGCCAGACTGACTAGGACTGTGCAAAATGCTTCAAAGTGGTTAACTGGTGAAAATGACAATAGTGTGAGACTGGAAGTAGGGTCATAATTTTTGTGCCAAGATAATCACTGCATAAGCGAGTTTTTCTGGAGCCGGATAACGAGTTTCGGCCCCATCTAGAGTTTTGCTAATGTAGAAGATAGGTTTTTGCTCGCCGTGATCTTCTCTGACAAGGACGCCGTGATGTTAAGATATAGGGTCTCGCCATCTTCCGGTTTTGCTAATATTGGCGGGATGGTCAAGTACTCCTTCAACTGTGTGAAATCCTCTTTGCATTTGTCATCCCAATCAAAGCGTTTATTACTCCAAAGTAGTTGATAAAAGGGGTGACATTTATCTGTATAGCGCGAGATGAATCTGTTTAACACTGCGATTCTCCCAGTTAAATGTTGTACTTCGGGTGTATTTTTAAGCGATGGGAGATCCAGTATTGCCGAGATTTATTTTGGGTTCGTTTTATTTCCTCTTTGGGTGACGATGTAACCTAGGAATTATCCTGATGTTACCCCGAAAGTGAATTTAGCTGGTTTAATTTCATTCCGTATTTTCGAGAGTTTTAAAACAATTCTTGAGGTGGTCGACGTGATCTTTAGCGACTGCAGATTTCACGAGCATATCATCGATGTAGACCTCCATGGTGCGGCTGAGCTGACTTGCAAACATTTTGTTGACTAGCCGTTGTAGGTGGGTCCTGCATTTTTTAGTCCGAAGAGCATTACTTTGTAGCAATACGTTCCGCGATCAGTGATGAACGCCATCTTCTCTCTATCGCCGGGATGCATAAAATTTTGATTGTACTCGAAGAAGGCATCCATAAAGGATAATAGCCGATTCCCAGCTGTTGATTCGACCCCTCGATCGATATGGGGAAGTGGAAAGTAGTCTTTTGGACAAGATTTATTAAGGTCGGTAAAGTTGACATAGACCCTCCACTTGTCGTTCTTCTTTTTGACAACGACGGGGTTGGCCAACCAGTCTGGGTACTGAACTTCAGTGATTTATCCAGCTCCGAGTAGTTTTTTCACCTTGCCGGTTACTGCTTGGGCCTTCTCAGGGCCGATCTTCCTTCGATTTTGCTTAATAAGTTTAAACGTAGGGTCCACATTTAGCTTGTGTGACGTGATTCTGGTGTCGGTTCCCTTCATATCTTCTATAGACCAAGCGAATAAATGCACGTTGTTTCGCAAAAGTTTGATGAGCTCCGTTTTAATATCTTCTGTGAGATCACCGCTGATGCTGACGGTTCTTTCGGGGGTGTTGCTCGTTAATGCTTACTTGTATAACTCGCTCCGTCTTCGGTCTTTTGTGATAAGGAAGGTGTGGATCTAAATCGTTGTTCACCATATATGTAGTTACCGTCCTGATCTTCATGTCACTAAGGAGGCACGTTCATGATGTTGACTGATCGCCTTGAAGGGTAAACGTGCCGGTGGGAGTCGGGAATTTTATGCATTAATGGTAGGTTAAAACCACGGCCTTCATGTTGTGGATCCACGGAGTCCCGAGTATGACGTTGTAAATAGTTAGGCAGTTGATGACTGTAAATTTTATCTTTTTGGTTATGCCGCCGATATAGGTGAGTAGATGAATCGAGCCGATGCTGTAAGAGATATCGCCTGTTCTGATTAACGGTTTTGTTGTTGTTACTATCTCGTCTTCGCCGATGTTCATTCTTGCTAATGTATCCTTGAAGATAATATTGATGGTGCTGCCTAGGGGTGGGCAAAATATCCGTTGTATCCGCTTTGAACCGATATTTGCTTCGATCCGATTCGAAAAGTCCGGATATCCGTAAAGCTTCGGAGCAAAGCAAATAGCAAAATGTAGTATCCGTACAAAACGGAGCAAATCACAAATATGTTTTTAGATAACGCCGGATATCCGATCCGATCCGTATATTTATAAATTTATTATATATTATCATGTATATATCAATTATATTATAAATTTTTATTAATATATTCTCAATTTTCTTTCTAAATTTTCAATTGTTCTTTTGATTATATAAAATAAATGACTAAATAACCAATTATAAAAAATAAATAATATGTTTAAAATTAAAATATGTTAATAAATAATATTTTATTTTATATTAGTAAATAAATATCAACAAAAGTTTTTTAGTAAAGTTTAATATTAAAGTTTCAAATAGTTAATATTATTTTTAAATATAAAATATCATTTTTCCTCATCTTAATTTTGTAGGTTTATTTTTTATAAATTTTTTTTATAAAAATATTTTCTTTTAACTATTTTCACTTAATAGTTTAGATGAAATTTTTTTTTATAATAAAAATTGATGTACTTTCAGTTTTGTGTATATTAAACGGATCAAACTAAATATTCATAAATATTCGTAAATATCCGTAAATATCCGTAAATACTTGTAAATTTTCCGGATATCCGAAAATCCGGATATCCGTATATTTCCGGAGTAAATCAAATCATAAAATTAAATATAAGTTAAAAACGGAGCAAACCACAAATACTAAAAAATTTCCGGATATCCGATCCGCGCCCACCCCTAGTGATGCCGCTGTCGACCAAAGCTTTGGCGACTGTGCTCTCGTGAATTTGTAAGGTTATGACCAACGGATCACTATGTGGTGTGTGCGAGCCTTGCAAGTCCTCTGCTGCGAAATCTATTGGTGCTTCGTTTCTCAGAACGTACAGATTGTGCTTTGCTGCTGCCGCCCTTTCTTCATGACGCTTAATTTCTTTAAGCGAACTGTCGTCGTCGAACAGTCTGCCCATGATCATATAGGAATCGTCGATCGTTACAGATCGTCCCGTGGGTGGTGGAATCGCGGTGGTGTCGACAGCGGGGTTGTCGCACTCATCCAAAGAGGGCATATCAGTATGCGTGGTGTCTTCCACGTTGAGGGTGAGGTTGCTGTCAGACGGAAGGCTCATCGTTTCAGGTCTTTTGTTGCTAGTTTTCAGTATATATTCTCCTATTCCTCATAGACCGTGCCAATTTTTGAACTAGAAAATTACCACTAGGAATTTTCTTAACAGTTGTGGGTTTCAGTGAATAAAATTTTTATTGATAGCTCAAGAGATGAAGCGATTACAAAGATTGGTATAACCGAGAGGTTATACTGAAGTGAAAGAAAGTATTTGCGAAGTAAGCTAGAAAGCGTTGAAGTTCTTGGTTTTAGCTCTGCTGCTCTCTAGATTGTATGAGTTATCTCTCTTGTGCTCTGGGGTCTCTTTATTTATAGGAATAGGAGGTCGGTTGCTCCAAACTCCTTTTCCTTTTTTCTTTTGGTGAATATTTTCATATTTGCGATATGAAAATATCTCTTATTCTCCGAAAAATATAGAAATTATCATTTATCTGTGAATATTCTTTTAAGCTGATCTGACTTTTTGGAAATTTCAAGATTATCTTCAAAGTTTTTTTTTTAGAGCTACGTTGATGTAGTCTTTCTAATCTTGATAAACTATTATTATCAAAGAAAACCTTTTAGAAAATGTATTTATTTTCCTTCTAACACTAGAAAATATAATCCATTTTAATTACAGTAAAACTTTGATTAAGATTTGTTTTTATTTTTGATTTTCATATCGGATTGTATTGATTTTTATAAATCAAGCACCCATAGTTTAAATGTAGAACTTTATATATATAAAATTTCAGTTTTCTTTTCTTTTTTTTTTGGTCAACGAATTTCAGTTTTTTTAAAGTAAATATTTTCAAAGTGTTCATATGACTCGCGCTACCAAAAAATAAGTCGGTCGAAATTTTTTTATTTGTAAGAGAAAATAAAAACAATAATTTGGCTAAAAGGAAAATGGAATTGATTTGGTCATTTTCATTAAACTTGGCCAAAGCGCAAAAGACAAACTACAACATTTCTCTCTTTCACTTCACGTCTGCGAGTGTCATCGAGCTCCGGATCTCATCGGAGTTTCAGCAATCTCGCCTTCATTCGGCCAAAGCTCCGTCGATCTGTTCGCCGTCCGACGCCGTTTAGCGGATTTAGGAATCTGGAGGTGCCTATTTGATAGAAAAGACTGTCTACGAAGGTTTGTTGATTTTACAAATCCTCTCCGCGAGAAAAAAAGTGGGGACAAGGAATCATGGCTGTGGTGGATGTTCACCGGTTCGCTGAGTCAATCACTTGCCATGCTTGGAGTCCTGATCACTCCAGTAAGCTTCTGACTTTCTCATCTCGAGATGCTCTTGTTTCCTCTCCTTCGCTTTTCTTTTACCGTTTTGGCCTTTGGGGAATATGAGAAATGAGTAACAGAATCTGGAGACGGAGATTATAGAAATATATGAAACATTAGTTTGTAGAATTAATTACGAGGATCTGTAATTTGGCTGGTAAGAAAGATAGAGGAGGAAACTGATTTGACTAATCTGATTCGAATATATCTTGTGAATTAAATTGCTCGTAAATCCTTGAAAATTGAAAACTTTTTGTTGCCCCCCCTTGTGTTTGTTTGTTGGTGTGTCTTGTTTAAAGAAGGAATCACAAGGTTAATTGAATTGGGTATGCCTCATCATAGGAAAATAATCAATAGATCCAGTTCATAGATATTCTTACTAGTTTAGGTTAGGTTCAACATAGCAAAGAGAGTAGTTGAAGAATCCAGAGAGATGCTATGATTGGCTAGGAACAGTTGGTATCAACGTATTGTACATTCGTTGATGAGCTTTTTCTAAACAGATGAACGCAATGTCTTGTTACAACACCTTTATGTAACCAGTTATGTCCTGAGGCATTTGTTTCCTTTTTCTTGTAGTGGTTGCACTTTGTCCAAACAATAACGAAGTTCATATCTATAAATCATCACAAGACCAGTGGGAGAGGTTACATGTCCTAGAAAAGGTGCGCTCCTTTCCTTTCTCTTCTTGGGAATTCTACAATTTATATAGTTATATGAACACTCATTTAGCTGATCATTTGTCACTGAGAAGTGTTCAATGAGACAGCTTGAATCTCCCTTACAACAACTTCATGGTTTTTGTTTGAATCTTTGCAGCATGACCAAATTGTTTCTGGAATAGATTGGAGCTCAAAGTCCAACAAAATCGTCACTGTTTCCCATGACAGGAACTCGTAAGTTGCAACCTTTGATATACTTAGAGGAAACTGTCCATTTGGAAAAACTTGTACTTAGATTAATGCTGTGAGAAACTGCAAACCTTTTTGTTCTTAGCTCACTGTTCTTATAGTTCGTTAAACTGAACTTGAAATGCTTCTCGAAGGTATGTGTGGAGCCTGGAAGGAGGTGTATGGGTACCAACTCTTGTTATTCTTAGACTAAATCGTGCTGCACTTTGTGTCCAATGGAGTCCAAAAGGTAAACGTATGAGATCCAAAAGTTAGTTATATAGTTTCATTGTCTAGGTAGTATGTAATGTACTTTTCCTATAATCTGTGCAGCTTCTAATATAAGTTCCCATCTTTTTGTTCAATTCCCTTAGAGAATAAGTTTGCTGTTGGAAGCGGTGCTAAAACTGTTTGTATATGCTATTATGAGCAAGAGAATAACTGGTATTTTTCTTCCTCTGCTTCTGCTCTTATATTCTTTCTTTGGCATGTTGCCTAGCTTCTATGCTACGAATGGTTTTGATTTTCGATTAAATGGTATTCTGTTCTGTATTGCGTAGAGGTTCTGAACCATTGAATGTGTGCAATTCTCGCAAAGTACATTATGACTTTTATTTAAAGTTTTGGTTTTTTTTTGTAATTGGTAGGCTAACATTGCTTGGCTTTACTGTTCTCAGGTGGGTCAGTAAACTTATCCGGAAACGGCATGAATCTTCAGTCACAAATGTTGCTTGGCATCCTAATAATGTGAGTTCAATCAACACAACCTCATGTACTTCAGTAGCTAAAATATTAATCAAAATTTCGATAGATGCTTTCTCTACGGAATATATTCTATAAGTTGGCCACTGGAAAGAGTACATGCTCCCTAAAAAAGATTCTCAAATTCTACAAAATAGCTAATTATCTTGGCATACTTTTCTGATGTTGTGCTCTCTTATTTTCTGGTTTGCATTAGATTCTTCTGGCAACAACATCTACAGATGGAAAATGTCGGGTATTTTCAACATTCATCAAAGGAGTTGACACAAAGTAAGCTCATTACCTTGTCATCTACTTTAAAAAAAGTATTTGCAAATGTGGGCCAGTTTCTTATTTGTCTTCACTGAATGTGCTAATACAGAGATTCAAAAGCAGGCTCATCAGCGGAATCTAAATTTGGGGAGGTTCGATTCTTTTTGGCAGGCTTTCCTTGTTGTTATTAATATAGCAATGCTTGTGACATATATATTCCCTCCACCCGCTCATCTAATACTAGGGAGCTTTTTTCGGCCGTGTCATTGTTGAAACAGCAAATTCTTCAGCTTGATCTTTCATATTCTTGGGCATTTGGTGTGAAATGGTCTCCAAGTGGAAACACCTTAGCTTATGTAGGTCAGAATATCCTTAACACTTGAAATGTTTGCCCATTGCGATCTACGGAACATATACAATGGAACTTCAACTTGGTTACACAATCTTTTACTACCCTCTGTCTCACTTCCTTTGTATCTGTAATCTTGTATAGGTCATAGCTCCATGATTTACTTTGTTGATGACGTTGGTCCTTCTCCTTTAGCCCAAAGCGTTGCATTTAGAGATTTGCCTCTTCGTGATGTGGGTCAGCATCCACCCTTGTTTTACATTTTGAGAACCTGGTCTTCTCCGCGTGTAATGTCCTGAACTGATATACTATCGGTAACTCTCTGTTTCAGGTCCTCTTTATCTCTGAGAAAATGGTGATAGGCGTTGGTTATGACAGCAACCCTATGGTATTTGCTGCAGATGATACTGGAATATGGTGCGTAATTTTCTCCTCTTCTTAGCCGTTTGCGTACAATCGAATCGTTCCATCCTCTTATTATGCGTAGATCAAAGGCCAGATCATTACTTCTGAAAATTCGAAATGATCCACACACCGATTATTGCTTTGTTTACAAGTGTTTTTTTTTTGGGGTGTCTGCAGGAGCTTTATAAGATACATAGGAGAGAAGAAAGCGGCATCTTCAGGCTCCAGTTACAGTTCGCAGGTACATACCAAATTTTCTTTCTTTTATTTGTTGCAGCAAGTCTGGTTTTAGCCTTATAGTAGTGTAATATAGTGAAACTTTAGCTTAATTCTAAGTTGTTCTCAGACATAATAATCTGCCGGGTCATTGGAGTTACTCGTTTTCTATAATTATCTGCTATGTCTTAGCCGTCTCTGTTCACTATGTTATGTTGTCAGTTTTCCGAAGCATTTGGGAAATTCTACGGTCAATCAAAGGCTGCAACGGCCAACGATGCTTCTGAATCCTCTAAATCACGTGGAGGCGTTCATGATAACTGCATAAAGTAAAATTTGTCTTAAGCTAACTCTTTCTTATACAAAATCACATGCAAGACAGTGTCTCTTTAACTCTTTTACTTCATTGTCTGTTAAAGCCTGACCCGTAAATGTACCTGAAACTTGCAGTTCCATTGTACCTCTGAGCAAAGCAGGGAGTCCTAAAGTAATGCGATTCAGCACTTCAGGTCAGTCACTAATTTTAGACTCATATATTCGTTCGTGGAATCAGCCGATTCATTTGCTCGTAATATATCGATTTGTTATTTTATAGGATTGGATGGCAAAATAGCCATATGGGATCTAGAGAACATGCAAGAAGAACTTGGCCATCAGTTTTAATAAACACAGAAATTAAAAAAAAAAAAGAACCTGGATCACAAGTATGGTTTACTTAATTTGTATATCATATTTTTGTTTACGCTTTTCAATTTCGTAATTGTTTTAACTGTGTAAAACTACAACAATAAAGGCCTTATTTTTCTTGGTTTGTGTAACGGCAGGTATTAATAAGTTTGCAAGTTCTGTCGTTCGCCTCTGGATCTTTGTAATATCTTTGAATGCTTTATGATTGATTCATTATAGTTATAGCATCTTTTCTGTGAGGTATATTACATTTCATGTTTAGCTTTGCGTCGAATCAATTCGAGCTTACATCAAACAGTACCAAACCATAATCGTAAGATTTCTTTCAAGTTCTTGAGAAGAAAATCTAGCAGCTTCTGTCTTATGAGCAATACCATATACATTCCACAAATGCGAATCTTCTCGTCTCAGATTATATAAGTGATAGTCCTGAACAAAATCTGCTGATGCGTAACATGCAAAACTAACATTTGGTATGTTTCCTGCAATCATTCTCACTTATTGCAAATTTTAACTACAGTCATTATTGTGCTAAGCAATTCCCAAGCTTTTGAAGCATAAACTAGCGATGCAACAAATAAGCTTTTTATGCCGAGAAACACAACTTGAACTATCAACTATATGTCTCCAAGACCATTCCTTTTCGTACCATAAGCAATGAAGTTGACGCTTATGTCGTCTGACAATAACCATCTTCCTGTTATCGGGTTGTACACAAATCCAGCCATCTCTTTCACCTGCAGATCCATAGTTTCTTGGTTATAATATCTACCACACGTGAGACAATCAAACAGAAGAACAATCCCTTCTTCTCGCGATTTTACCACTTGTCCGCATCTGAGACATGAGTATGTGAGATTGAAAGGGGAAGATAAATTGGCTTACATCGACTGAAGCACTTTGTAATATCATAGTAAGTTCTTCAGGAGTTAGAAAACTTGACCACTGGTGTGTGCCTTTAGGAAGCTGCAGGTGATTATCATACAAAAGACCAAATGTGTAAACAAACATCAAATGTCAAGGAAATGGTGTTATCATAAGATAAAAATCAAAAATGAGATGTGAAACTGAAGTGTACCCATTGTAGAATGTACTCTGCTGCAACGATGGCTGATGCATATGCTCGCATAGAGCGATTAATCGTAGAAAGTATTGTGGCTCCGTTAGGGATGGTCAATGCTGACAACGACTTGCAGAATTCTGCAGGGTTTGCTACATGCTCGATGACCTTCATTTTAGAAATCACAACATTTGCCATGAAAATAGTACTAAGAAGCATGAAAATAGAAAATAGTGTCGATGGACCAGAAAAAAAAAAGTACCTCTAAAGCAAGAACAGCATCAAAAGTCCTCCCTTCATCCACTAGCTTCTCTGCGTTTGAAAAAAAGTACTTTAACATAGAAGATAGATAACAGAGAATCAGCTTCTGTAGAAGATTCCATGTAACTTTAACTGATCATTATCTAAGATTAGTAAAAGAAAAACCTGCTGTAGTACAACTGTATTCGATGATCGAGGTCACTGGATCCATATCCTGCAGAGACATTATATTAACATACAAAAAAAAAAGAATAAAAGTCAAGATAGACAAGGGGTTTCGCGAACTCGAATCCTATGCCATAATGTAAACGAGTGTTCACTACTGTGGCAAGACTAAAGTGTATATTTCAAATAAATAGGTCATTAACATCATACGGAGGACAAAATTTAGCATAACATAACGATTCATGCAGTGTAATAAGTTATATCTGTGTAAATCAATGATACAATAAGAGACCTTACAGCATGAAGGCGAGCAATTTTCACATTCTTGTCAACAGCATCGATTCCTGTGACAGTTGCTCCCATCCTTGCTAGTGGCTTCAAAACACACACACAAAAACAACAAAAACAAAGCCACACTGGTCACAAAATCTTCTTACATCTAACACAAAGTCTCAACTTAGAGTGGTCTCATAAAAAGGTAAGTTATGGTTTGAATACCTCAGAGAGTAGTCCGCCGCCGCAACCTACATCAATGAGTCTGAGTCCTTCAAAAGGCCTAGCAGAACTCGGATCCTTACTGAGAAGAAGAACAAAAGTGTTGAATCCAACATCCCAACATAGAGAGACGAAAACAAAAACTCTCTACAAGAAATGCACCTGAAGTGCCTGCATAAGGTCGAGCGGATGAAAGCCAGCCGAGTTGGATTCATCAGATGCAATGGCTTAAAGGGTCCTTCAGAATGCCACCTTCACATAAGAACACAGAGCAAAGAAATCATTTTGATGATGCCATCAAGAGTCAAGAGAATGTAAATTCTTCTAAGCAATCCAAACTTTTGATCGTTTCCAGGAAATGTAACTCCTTGTCCTTCAGATTGATAGAAATGTAAGTATTATCCGAATTTGAATCAAAGAGAGACGAACCAGGTATCAGAAATGGCAGCGAATTTGGCAAGCTCATGATCTTTCAGAGAAGATGTATTCGACGGTGTGCTTCGGCTTTTATTGGAACCTCCGACTTCGGTAGTTTGGATCTTATGGTGAGGATTGGGAAAAGGCGTCGACGAAGCATCGGTTTCTGAGGTCAAGAACGGCCGCCGGTGGAGAAAACACGACGGAGGTATGATTGAGGGAGATAAGCGACGAGCAGAGAGAATCCTTTGCAGTTGATTCATTAGTCTCAACGCCACTGTTTCAATGGTTCAGAAATTCAGAAAATGGCGAGGCAAGGAGAAACCGATAGGGGTATACCAAACGGCGGTTTTCGCCGCCGGCGGAGATAACGAGGGGAAATGAAGAAGAGAAGTGAAGGGTAAAATTGGAATTCACGATGGATGTGTGGCCTCGGATGTATAATTGAACGGGCCTACCTATGTGGATCTATACCAGTTAAAGGCCCATATATAGGTAGACTATAATATATAAGTAAATATACACACCAATATTTCTTTAATTTTTGATATAACATCTTGTACTATACATATTTTTCATAACACTTCCATAAAATTTTGTAGTACTATTTTTAAGCAAATCAAAAGAAAGAAAAACATTTGTACCTTTTAGGATAAAAAAAGCTGGTGGAACGAAATAAATATTATACGATCGCACAAAATTCAGAAGAGTAGTTGGATATGGATAACTGGATATGTTGGAATCAGTTATTTTCATCTATAGTAGTTTTCAAACGAAGGTCCCACGAGCGAATGAGAAATCTCATTCCCCTAAATTTAATAATCATAATTGATACTCTCCGTAATGGCTTAATTTAATAAAGTGTACTCTCACATCAGCTCGTACCAAAAGGTCCAAAACTATATCACAAAGTCGAGAGCAAAGACATTTTGTAACATGAGGTTGAGATAAGTTTTTGTGGATTCCCTAAAGGACTTTAGTATTTTTAATTGGATACTTTGCCCTACCACTTTGAAATACTGTTAATTACACCATGCTAATCACGATTAAGGGTGTATGAACCGTGTTTGCACTGTTATTAACAACAACTACAGCATTTCAAACTTTGCAGCGAATATTCAAACTTTTTAATACAAAAGAAAAGAAAAGAGTGGGGGCATTAAAAGGAGCTGTCTTCTAGTTGGTAATGTGAATTAAGAAGCTGGCAAATACAATTGAATGTAGGACAACTTCATACTCCAATAATCAACCCCATTTGAAATAAGATAATGTAACCCACTTATTTCCTCAAATATACTTTATTATTATACTCCTGACTACTGTTAAGATACATATAAATATATTGTAGTTTATGATGATGCCTAATTAAACTTGTTGTCAAACAAAATCAAGAGTTGATAAAGGAAGTCACGTTTGGAGATTCTCAACAGTTTGTTTCGCTGGAGGCGTTGAAACAGCCCTCTTTAACAGCTCACACACTTCGTTTCACATTCCAAAATTCTTAAATTCTTCTACTTATTATATAAATCTCTGTTTCTCTCTCAAAAAGATTATTCCAGCATCAGGCAGATTAAAAAATAATGGCATCTTTCTTGGAGAAGGCGACTTCTGCTCTTAACGAAGCCAAAGAATCCGTTACAGCCACCGCTGAATCCGTCGGTTCCTCTCTAACCGATGCTCAAAAAACCGTTGCAGCCTCCACCGAAACCGCCAGGAGCACTATAACCGATGCAGGGGAAACCGTTGCAGCCTCCACTGAAACGGTCAAGACCGAAGCAGCAGCCTCCACTGAGAAGGCTGCAGCCACAAAAGAGAAACTGACTACACAGGTTGGCTTTCTTGGCCAGTGGCCACAACTTTTTACATGCTTTTTTTTTGTTTTGTTGTCTCAAAATGTAACGAACTTTGGTTTTGTAATATGATTGGTGTGATTTAGGCAAGAGATGCAGTGGACAGTGCTTTGTCAAAAGGTATAGAAGGAGCCAAATCTTTGCTTCATGTTTTTGAGGAGAAGAGGACTGAAGTATCATCCAAGGTCGTTGGAGCTGTTTCTAATGCTGTAAGTGGAGCATCGAGCAGCACCAACCGAGACCTTCCCATATCCATAGACAATCAGGTCACAGCAAAACTCAAACTGTCTCTTATCAGAAGATTGTAGTTCTTCTCATCATGTTTTTGACAAAGTGATTGTGTGTGTGTTTTGCAGCCTTTGTTAGCTGGTGAGCGTGGGGTTGAGACGACGCCGTGGTGGAAGAACTGTTGTGGAGTTCTTGATCTTCTCAAGACATCTACTACAAAATGAAAAAATCAAGAAAAGGTCAAGCTAACGAATTTCATTTCACCAGATGGAGAAGAAGAACAGAGCACTAGAAGAAAAAACCCACCTAAAAACAACTTTTGATTATTTATGTCCTTCCTTTTTGATTTTGATTTTGATTTGAGTTTGTGTCTATCTGTCTTTGTTTATTTATTTTTTGTCTTTTGATATCTTGATTGTTCCCAAGAACTTGTGTAAGAACCAATAAACCCAAAAAAAGGTAATTTCTTTTGTGATGAGTGATGTATTATTCTAAGGAATTTCTAAAAGCTAACCAAACATTCGTAGTTTCTCAACCTACACAGAAACAAGATTCCTCCACAGACAAAAAAAAAAACTGAAGTGCGAGATTAAAGCCAAACTCTAATTCTCTCCCTTGTCTTTTTCTCTGCTAAAAATTTGATATATTTTTTTTATATTCGACGAAATCTTATATAATTATATAAATGTCTACAAAGAAAGTAAATGAACCTAAAAAATATAAAATTAAAAAACGAATAAATATAGAATGACAGCGCTTTTTTACCAGTAATTATGGTCTATTATAAAGCAAGAAATGGTACAAATGATTAATGATTTTTTGCGATCAGGAGTTTTTGACCGACGGTTAAATATGACACACATATGTCTCATCTCAAAAACGGAACGACCAACAAAAATGCTGAAGTTACGGCCGATAAGTTTATGTAATGTGGGTTACAAAATCATTTCCAAAGTCTTATGTCAACGACTTCGACGGTTATTACCAAAATTAGTTTCTGAAACGCAGTCAGCTTTCGTTGCTGGTAGACTCATCTCGGATAACATACTCATTGTCCAGGAAATGTTTCATGGGCTACGGACCAATAAATCATGTTAGAAAAGATTCATGGCGGTAAAAACAGATATGAGTAAAGCTTATGATCGTGTCGAATGGCCTTTTATTGAGCATTTGCTTCGGAAAATGGGGTTTGCAGAAAAATGGATATCATGGACGATGTGGAATATACAATCAGTACAATATAAGGTTCTACTCAACGGGGAGCCAAGAGGACAGATAACACCTAAGAAGGGACTTAGACAGGGGGGCCCGTTATCTCCATACCTTTTTATTCTATGTATGGAGGTGTTAACAGCAAATCTGAAAAAATCAGAACACATGAAGCTCATCACAGGGATGAAGGTGGCTCGCGGTTGCCCTGCGATCTCACATTTATTTTTCGCGGATGATAGCCTGTTTTTTTGTAAGGCAACAAAGGAGGAGACAAATGTCTTACTAAGTATTTTAAAACAATATGAAGATGTCTCAGGACAACAGATAAACTTCGGAAAATCCTCGGTCCAATTTGGGCATACGGTATAACCAGCAGTTAAGGAAGAAATACATCAAACATTACAAATAACAAATGTTGGTGGAATAGGCAAATATTTAGGGATTCCTGAAAGTCTGGGGGGCGCAGACTAAGATTTTTAATTTTCTAGTGGCACGACAGCAGAAACGGGTAAGCGGTTGGACTTCTCGACTCCTTTCTAAGGGAGGGAAGGAGGTGTTGATCAAATCAGTGGCCTCAACGACGTCAACATATGTTATGTCTTGCTTTCGTTTGCCAAAGACAATCACCAGAAACTCACCAGTACTATCTCACACTTCTGGTGGAGTACTAATGGTCAAAATTAGGGGATGCACTGGCCATCATGGGATAAACTATGCAAACATAAAACGGAAGGAGGTATAGGTTTCCGGATTATAGAGGATTTCAATACAGCCCTATTGGCGAAACAATTATGGCGCCTCCTAGACCATCCGAATTCATTATTTGCGAAAGTGTTCAAAGGGCGATACTATCGAAATGGGGGACCCTTAGACCCTATTCATTCATACTCAGCATCCTATGGATGGCAGAGTATCATTTCGGCTCGATCTCTGGTAAAAAAAGGGCTCATTAAAAGGGTAGGCTCAGGGGACTCTATTTCTGTTTGGAATGACCCATGGATATCGGCTACTCGCCCGAGGTCAGCAACATGTCGGGGTTACAATTTGTATCCCGACCTTAAAGTCAATAATTTGATCGATTCTTCAACAAAAACCTGGAACTTACCGCTCATCGAACAACTCATTGTTCCAGAAGATATTCCTTACATTACGGGGATCCCCACAAGTAGAGGACACAGACCAGATCTATGTACATGGTTTTACACAAAATCCGGAAAATATACGGTTAAGTCGGGCTATAATACGGAACAGGATTACAAAGGTGACAATGCAAGAAAATATTATGGACCAAATATAGTTCATCTGCAGAGTCATGCTTGGAAGGTTAAATGCCCTCCCAAAATGAAGCACTTTATATGGCAAATCATTTCAGGATGTATATCGGTTATGGATAAACTACATAGTAGAGGTGTTACTCGTGACCCACAATGCGGACGATGCGGCGCGGATCGGGAAACTATTAATCACACCTTATTTGAATACCCCACAGCTCTCCAAGTCTGGGCATTATCAGTGATCCCAACACCTACGTCGGGATTCCCTTCGGCAGCCATTTATACGAATATGGCACACCTATTTTGGTCACTACCAAATACGGGAGAAATGGAAGTTTTCCCTTGGGTTTTTGGTATATCTGGAAATCAAGAAATGATAAAATATATTCGAATATTGATCGGGATTCACGAGAAGTGTTAAGAATCGCACAAGCAGAGGCAATAGCATGGGCTTTGGCACAAACTGATTTGGAACAATTGCAAAATTCAGGTCCGACCGAAGTCCAGACAACAAGGAACGAGGGCTTAATATGTTATACAGACGGGTTCTGGAAGGAATCAGCAGTCAACGCTGGATTGGGCTGGTATTGTCCAGAAGTAGGATCAGAAGGAACACTAATGGGGGCAAGAAATGTACGGCGAAGTATTTCTCTGTTACATACTGAGCTGGAGGCTCTAATTTGGGCAATGCATTGCATGCTCAATGCAGGAAGATTGGCGATGGCTTTCGTTACAGACTGTTCAGAATTGGTGAAGATGGTGTCCAAACCAGAAGAATGGCCGGCCTTCGCATCACATTTGGAGGAATATGAGACCAGCAGGAGAGAATTTCAGCTCTTTTCTATCTCACATATCCCACGTGCTGAAAATACAAAGGCAAACAAGTTAGCACGGAGTGCTCGAGACTACCTTTATAGATTAAATTATGTAAACTCATCCCCACCAGTTTGGATCTCCGAACCGTTGTAAGAATAAGGTTGTTGACAAAAGAAAAAGAAAAAAAACCTTTAATAATCGTAAAATACTGTACATGAGTCTTTTGGTCATATATATATATATATATATTTATTTATTTATGTATTTATTAAAGTGATCGAGACTTTGTATTTTTGGTGAACGAATTAATATTTTTGAATTTTGTATAGAAAATTAAGAAGAGATAGGACGAAAATTTCTACATTTATATTATTTTTAGGTTATATTCACATTTACGTTTAAAAGGGTTTGAATATTTCTAAAAAGATTTGAAGAATTCTCCCTTTTTTTCTAATTTTTCTTTCTTTTACAAGTAGCAAGAAAATCCACTATTGTTCTCACAAAAGGCTAATAAAGGTCCATATTTGCAGTAGCCCACTCGGACATGGACGCACCATATATAATAGATTCAAGGGAGAACCAAAATTGCACGAATGTATCTCTTCCTGAGGCATGCTTAAAAGAAAGCTTTGAGTTCCTTATTACGAGAAGTGATAAAAAAGGGTTTTTATAATTCGCATACGATGCTTGTTTTGGGATGGCTGATTTAAAATATATATATATATATATATATATATTTCTGTATATTATATATCAACGGTTATAGGTTCGGAACAGGAAAAAGAATAATAGACTTTAGCCTAAAGATTCGATTTATATATATATATATATGACTAAATTAATGCCACATCAAAGGGATATAAAAACAAAAGCAAAAAAGACGAGGATAGAAGTAGAGAAATGAGAAAGTTGTGAAAGAGGAGCTTGAAGCTTCGGGCTTTGGAGTTGGGTGTGATGGTATTCTCCCAAAAAGCCCTAATCCATCCACACTTGTTACGTTCAATATCGATTCACTCGTGCTGCAAACATTACATTCGAAACTCGTCATCATTTCGTAATTAAATTCTTAATTATATTTGCATCTCTTTATTAAACTTAAAAGATGTAAACTTTGTTTTTGAAATATTTTTTCACCTTGTAGACGGAAAGTGGCATGATCCTACACCTGCCAACAGAGTAAAATCGATATAAAACGAAAAAAAAATTGATATGATATAAAATCTTAATTAACCTTGTTTACGTAGAACAAAGTTTATCATATCTAGAATCGTGTAATATGAAATATGTAGTGGTCAGTTTCGTGCATTTAATATAAATTTATTACATAGTTTTGTAAAAAGAAATTCATATCTATTGTATTCTCAATTCTCATCCTATATAACTACCATTCTTAACTGACACAAACATTGCTGTCGTTAGCTTGATACAAAAAAACATAATTTTTTGAAATTGAAATTTTAGTAGAAACATAATATTGAAAGACTTACTTGGGTCACCACTGATAGTGACAGCAGTTCCACCAAAGTTGCAACTGCTAGGGATTGGATTCTTCTGGTAATAACTGTTAAATGCAAAAGAGGCATGTGCTCTCAACGAGTTTGGGTTATAACACTTTCCTCCTCCTTGGATCTCCGAGCAGTCTACTCCACCGATCCCACACGCGTAGTCCAAAGCCGCTTGTAACGCCATTTTTGCTGCGTTTTCTCTCGCCACGCACCAGCTTTCGCCTGGGTAGGCTGCACCGCGTGGTGGCGATGGAATCGCTAGAGGCGTTGTGGCAACGGCGGAAGCGTCAGAGTCGGAGTTAGGAACGACGGTTGGTGCGGTGGTGGTTGGGTTTGTGGCTAACGGTGTTGTTATGTCTTTTTCTTCTTCTATTGGTTCAGTACTATTAGCATTTGTACCTGTATGTAGTGAATGTTTTTTTATTCATGGATTAAGATGTTAGAAACATTAATAATGATGTCTAAGATTTGGTTGGGAAAGTTAGAACATAATTAATTATCATGTCTAAGATAAGTTCCTCTAATTTGTAAGATTAGATTAAAAAAAGGTTCAAAATGAAGACAAACCTTAGAAACAAAATAAACAAAAAGACAATAGAGAATCTTTTGAACTGAACGAGAAAAAGTAACGACTAGAATATTTGCAAGCTTGGACTCGACTCCAATTCACATGTGAAAATAAAAAAGCTGACTTCATTTTCTAGTTGAAATTAAATAATAATAATTCTTTGACAAAAAAAAAGAAATTAGATAAGTTCAGAAAAAAAGAGATGAGGATTTTACCTATTCAGATTATCAGCGAAAAGAAAAAAAATCGAACCTGGAAGAAAATGAACAGAAAAAGGAACGTTTGCCTAAGAAAAACATTTTATAAAAAACCTTGTAGAAGAAAAAATAAAGTCCTACGACATAGATTAACTTTCGGCATCTTTAAAATAATAAATTCCAAGTTATAAACATTATCATTAGCAATAAAGATGAAGAATCTTTTTCTCTTTTGTATTTGTTGCCATTATACAGAAATTCAGAATCTATGGGGTTGTATCAAATTAGAAAACCCAAACCATGTGTGTGTTACCTTCCAAAGAAAAAGTAACAAAACCAAGATTATGTTTCTTGAACAATTTCTAAATGAAATTTGCAACAACAAAATTTTACTATAAAAAAAAAGTAATATTAATAAATAATAAAAATATTGGAAGCTTTATTCTTCTTCTTTCAATGATATGGGTTGAGAAAAGTAACCTGAGAAGAGGAAACATAGAAGAATAAGAAGACTGATTACTAATCTGTAGCCTTTTCCCATTTCAAGAAACACAAGCCAGGCTCTTCTTTCTCTCTTAAAGCTCTCAATCTTCCTTTCTTGTGTCTACAAATCTTTCTTATCAACCATGCATCTATATATGTATATATATATGTGTGTGTGTGTTTAGAGAGAGAGAGAGAGAGAAGCTGTGTGTTTGGAATTTGAGTTTATGGAGAAGTTGAGGATTGAGAGAGAGAGAGAGAGAAGCAATGATTTGTTTGGGATTTAGGTTTTGTGGGCAATGTAAGATGCAATGTGGGATGCTTCTAGTGAGGTGAGTGATGGTTGTAATGATGGTTTTTCTCTCACACTTTTGATTCTCTATTCCCTGGTTCCTCTTTTTAACCTTTTTAAACCACAATAAGGACTTTTCCATTAGTTTTTCTTTCTTTCTTGAACCTCTCTACATAAGCATAAATTATTTGCCGCTAAAAATAAAGCATAAACAATTTGAGTAGTGGGCCTAACATCACATAGCCACGAAAGACATAAACTCTAACATAAAACATTAACAACAATGAAGGGAAACAATAGATATACTCTCATCAGTCATTACACAACACACAAACTTCAGTAATTACAACAAATCTAAGATCTAGTTTATATATGAGATCGGTCAAACAATTCCATCCGAAATATTGCACGTCTAAAAATTCCCACCTGATCAAAATTGTGGATCAAATCCAATATGGATTTTAATTTTGCAGGGAGTAACTCTATTCGACATGTTTTCTTAGCCAGAAAACCCACAATTATACTTCCCTATATCCACAATTATATGCGCCTACAATGATGACTCATTTTTCAATTATGTGTATGTCTAACCTGATTTAATTAGTCATCATGTCTAATACACTATAACTAAACTTTCCTATGCAGTTTTGTTTTTCCGATTACAGCGATTTTCAATGTAGATAACTATAGCGATTTGCTGCAACAAAGTTTAATCAGTACTCATTTGAAATAAAGAAATCTAGCTGATGATAATTGAATACTCTTTGTTCCTTTACTTTTGGGGCAAAATGTTAGGAAACTGATTGATTTGACTTTATGTCGAAGTAGGACCCAAATATGTTACAAACTTATAAGACTTTTACTTTTGACTAATCTCACACCAAACTTTGTGTATTTATTATTCATTTTTTCACTGTACATTATTCATTCAGATCCACATTACTTTCTCATTGTAGCTTCATAGCTTCTGTAGGTAACTAAAGCTGTATTTAAAAATTCGTTTAGACCGGCCCTTTATTATTATTAAAGTTTGTATTATAATAATAAATATAATTTATCGTATAGACAAATATGAATATGATAGAAAAATTTATACACGCAGAAAAGAAAATACTAAAGAAAGAAGAGAGAAGGCTTTACTATCTTTATATTTGTTCAAGAATGAGATATGTTACAATTGAACAAAATCGTTCATTTATATAGAAGTGAAAAAAAGAAATTTATTATGTACGCATAATGATGATTGACTCCACAATTTATTCATCAAAACATATATTATTAACATTTCAATGCTGTTGTTTTCTCACTTTCGTAACAGTTTGCACCTTCAAAAGGTGTGGTCAGATTTTGCATTATTCAGACAAACAAAAATCATAGGGTAACAAATACTCCCTCTGTTTGTATTTATAAAATATTTTAGAAATTTTTTTTGTTTATAATTAGATGATGTTTTCAGAAATCTATGTAAAAAGTAATTCTTTTATTCTATATATTATTTTTTTATTGGTTGAATTGTTTTGAAATTTATATTTTGTTTTGAAAAAAAAGAAATTAAATAACTTCTTAATTTCAGTACAAAACCTTAAACATCATATATACAAAAATAGAGGAAGTACTTAATTACATGAGTTTTAAAAATGCTAGTTAGCAAAAAAAAACAAAAAGAGTTTTAAAATGCTAATTGTAAACAAATTCAAGCTTCAACCTCGTTAGTCGTTACAGTTTGTGCGGTGGATTTTTATTAGTGGACAAACCAAAGATACAACTTTCGGTGTTAAAAAGTACTAATGATAAGAAAATAAGGAAAACATAAGTAATTAACTGTTTTTCTTTATTTGAGTAATAATTAGGGTACGGAATGAGCAACAAATAAAAGAGCAGCAAGTGGGGGCACAAATTGGTTAGCACTTAGCACTTAGCAACAACATAACGAAGATGGAAATAGATTCACCTTTTTCGAAATTAATTCATTCTAACAATTTCACTCTAATTATTGCGAGTCACGTTAATTATCCAACTCGTAGATATGTGTATAAACGCCTACAAACACTATCAAATTTGTTATAGACACAGTCAAACAAAGTTCTTAACCTCTTCTGCTACATTTTTGGATACTAGTAAATCTTCTCTCAAGCTTTCAAAAACCCATTTCAAATTCAGAAAAAACAACAGAAAAAATCTCAAACAAGAATGCAGAAGAACTTGCTCGAGATCTTACTGTTCCACACCCTCACTGATTCATCATTTTTATCACCACAAAGACTCATAGTGATGAACAGAATCATATCATCACATAGATCAGACTTGATCGAACACAAACTCTCTCAACGCACTTCATTTTTCGGCATCAAGCTCTGGATCCTAATCACAGCTTCCGCCTCCATAGCTTTCCTCATCGCTCTGATCATTTTTGTCTTCCTCTGTTTCATCCTTCACAGGAGAAGATGTAGACAAGAACCATTCAGACTAAGATCGAAGCTTTGTCTGCCTTTGTCACACAACATTCCCTTAAACGACAGAAGACAGAATCCGTACAACCGTTGCATTGAAGATGTAGAGAGCCAAAGAATCTCTCAGTTTGGTTGGTGCTCTGCTCATCTTCCCTACTACACCAGCAGCTTCTCATCTACCGGAGGATTTGGAAGCTTCGCCGTGTTTACATTCATGGAGATTCAGCGAGTGACAGAAAATTTCGCAGATGAGAATCTGATTGCTAAAGGAGATTCATCAATGGTGTATCGCGGAATCTTGATGGGTACAGTTTCTGTTGCTGTCAAACGGTTCTTCCCCATCCATCAAAGGTTTCTACTCTTTTTTCTTGATGACCTCGTAAATCGTAGAATCTTAATGTTTTGATCTGAGACAAGAGTAAATTCCAGGTACGAAGATGCAGATTTTATAACAAGAGCCGAGATGATTGCAAACGTAAGACACAAGAATGTGGTGAGACTCCTCGGATACTGCATTGAAGGATACGAGAGGTATATTTATATTACCTCTGCTGTTTAACTTGCGTTGGAAGGTACGTAGACTCACAAGTCTGTATGAATTCTAGGGTTCTTGTGTACGAATACGCAGAGAAAGGCGATTTGAACGAATGGCTTCATGGATCTGAAAGGAGAAATCAGAGTCTGACCTGGAGAAAGAGGATGAAAATCATTCAAGGAGTAGCCAAAGGGTTTGATCTCTTCTGTTTGCTATTCAAAGCAATTTTTTTTTGTTGATTTCTGTCATGCATGATTGCGAGAGAACATTATGTTTTCTGTGTTTGCAGACTTGCGTATTTTCATGAAGACATAGAACCAAGGATTACTCATCAATACATAAGACCAAGCAAGATCCTTCTTGATTATCAATGGAACCCTAAGATAATACTAACTATCCCAAGTCACAGTGAGATTCCAATAAACTCAGCTTTTGTTCCATCATCTGGTAATCTAGATGAGAAAATCGACATTCATTGCTTCGGTACTTTGATCATGGAGCTTGTCTCCGGGAGAGTCACTGTAGACCAAATTTCACCACATGTGAGTATATACATAACACAATACATATATTTAGCACATTCACAAACCCATTTTGTTTATTCACAATGTTGTGTTCTTTGCAGGTTTATCTAGTGGACTGGATCAAAGAGATGGTGGTGAATCATATGATAGTAGATGTTCTTGATCCTACCCTCCCTGAGTTTCCTACAATAAAGGAACTCAAACGGATTGTGTTGATTGCCTTGCGCTGTGTGGATCCTGAGGTAGAGCAGAGACCTAAAATGGGAGATGTGATTCACATGCTCCAGCCACATGATTTGCTACTGAGTAGTAATGTAATTAGAACCTTTTAACATTTTTGTTTCTTGTTAAGATAAACCAAGATCAATCTCTTATCTTAACTTTTGTTCTGTCTCTCGTGCAGGCAATACATAAGCCTCAGAAGATTACACGATCACACGAGGTTTCTACAAACAGTATCAGAACATAAAATCCCAAGCAAAACAACAAATAATTGCTAAAATTTAAAATCTTTCTGCTATTTTCTACGTTAGGAGTTTCTTTTTTAGGTTACATCAGTCTCAGCTGGAGTGAATTTTTTTTGCATCACTTGTGAATGTATAGTTCTACAGCATTCACCAAATTAAAATAGAATAAAAGCTTTGCATATGTCAAAGACTCAAAAGTGAATTTTCCAAGAAACTAGCACAACTAGATTGGCAAAAGACATTATACTTTCAAAGTTTCAATAATTCGATTTGCCTAATAATCCAGGGTGAGTTTGAATTGGAATTTATAAAACCGGTTGGTTTCAATAACCGGTATTTTATAAACCATGATACTAAACCGGTAATATATAATTGGCTCACATTCACGCTCTCTTTCTCTCACACAAACAAAACACATCTTCGGCGTTTGAGGTATTGCCGTATTTGGTATTAGTCCGTATCCCAGACTTTTCCAGTTTGAAATTCGCGGTTTAATTTTTGGTTTCTCTCATCGACGCTTCAAATCGAAAGTCATACATCATAGATCGGAGTTTCTCGGGTGATTTTTTAAATCATTGAATCTCTCTATCACTCACGTACTCTCTTGTCTGATTCCTACTTTTAATTTGAAAACTTCGAACAATTGGGTGTTTCCGACCGCCGGATCAAGGTTCGTAACGTTTCTCCGTTTTGTTTTTATTGCAGGATTTGGTCAGATATGAATTGGGTTCAACGAAAAATCTACCTTTACAACGTCACATTCGGGCTTTACATGCTTGATTGGTGGGAACGATATCTTTTGAGTATCCTTTCTCTTTCGATTGATCTGATCTATTTTAACCTTATTCGGTTAAAAGATTTGATTTTTTTTTTTGTTTTGTTTGTTTGTTTGCTTAGCTTTTGTAGTTGTGCTATTTGTTGTTTTAAGAGTTGAACTGAGATAGAATTGAGATATTCAGGATTTGACAATGCATGAGTTTCATTCAACTTTGGTAGTTTGGTACAGCTAAAAAAAAAACAGAGGTCTTTTGCTTTTTCCTCAACTCTCTTTCAGATTCTTTGGTGATAATCTTGATGTGGTTTATTCTGTACAACGGATCTCGCTACTTTTCAGAGCTTTGCAAGAGGTAACATTCTTGATTTTTTTGTCTTGTCTAGCTTTACTTTGATTTAGGTTTTGGCTTTCTCAGCATCTAAATTCCTTAGTTATGTTTTTTGTCATACTTGTTTCTATTTTAATATTTGTGGGAGTGTGAGGGTTGGTTTAATTTCATGTACATAAAAAGAAATTTTACTTTCTTGTGATCTTTGTACTTGGAAGAGATTTAAAGTGTTGCTAAGCTGGTTCTTTGGGATTTTGATCTTAGCTAGCTTGTGTTGAGTATTCTCAGAAGATAATTGCTTTCTTGATAATCCTCTTGCGTTGTTATTGGAGTGCTTAATTATGTTTGTTCCTCCCATTCCACAGGCATCTTTCATGAAACCAGGTCATAGTTATCATGAAACCGACACGATTGTCAACAAAACTCCTTGTTCTGGCTTTAACCTCCTTTCACTGGCGTAGTTTCTGATCATCCAACTGTCCATATATGTCTTTCTAATCATTTTATTATTTCCATGGTTTTGGATTAAACTTTTCTTTTGTTCTGTTCTTCTTCCAATTCATATTCTGAGATAGGACCAAATCATTTTACTTGCATCTTTTGATGCTTAGATTCGATGAACTCAAGTTTTCAGGTGTTTTTTCTTTCTGGTATTGCTAGTAAATTAATAACAGTATTATACAAAGCTTAACGAGGCTGGTGATATAATCTCCATTTTAGTTTCATTGTTCTCCTGATGTTATATGAAAACACACTTTTTCCCCCTTTTTACAAACTAAACAAAAAATATCATTTTTCTACTCTTTTTCTCTTTTGATTTTTTACTAAACAACAAAACTTTTATACAAAGAGGTTCGGCGAGGTTTTAATTTGAGCAACTTTAGAAGAAACAACAGAGAAAAGAGGATTTGGAAAGATTCTGAAATTAAACAAACCTAAACCATACATTAAAACCGATTCCCTAATCTGATAAGAGTCTTTATGGTTCAAATAAACGTAAAGAAGATCACTTCTGCCAAACGAACCAATACTAATTTTTTTTATGGTTCGGATAAGCCAATTTAGTTCTGGTTTGATTCGGTTAATTTAGTTGACCACTAAATGAAGGACACGTAATCTTCTTCCCCAACCACATCTGTTCCCTTCAAAAAAAATCCCCAAGTCCTCCTTCACTCTTCTGCACAGCGCAAGATTCTCCTTGTTCACTCTCATCTGCAATCGATTCAGGTTCTTCTTCTTCCTTCCTCTTTCTTTGGTGCATGACGCGTCACCCTGACTGGGTTTTGTTCGACGAAACTCTGATTTCGTCGCTGTTTGTTTTAGTTTTTAGTTTTAGCTCCTTGGCTCCATCTCTGAAATCGTCGGTGACGTTTCTGGGTTTTAGATTGACATAATAGTCGTTTATCTACTGTGCCTTCTTTCTTCAATCCGAGGATTATGTTCTAAGACCTCTTTGATCCTACTGTCACCAGAATCTTGCATATGCAAAATCTGATTCCTCGTTTGCTATCATCTAATTACTTTTTCTCGTTCCTGATTGGTTTCATTGAAGAGCAGATGGCAGCTTCATCTGCTTGTCTTGTGGGAAATGGATTGTCGTCAGTGTACACAAGCAAACAGAGGCTAAGCAAAAACTTTTCCAGGAGACAGATTGGTCTTTCCTCGACTTTTTCTTCATTCAGTAGAACATCCAAGGTCAATGCCGTGAAGGCTTCTTTGGATGTGAAGAAACACGAAGGAAGAAGAGGGTTTCTCAAAGTCTTGTTAGGAAACGCAGGGATAGGTTTGCTTGGAAGTGGGAAAGCAAATGCAGATGAGCAAGAGGGTTCTTCGTCTCGGATGTCATATTCTAGGTTTCTAGAGTATCTTGACAAGGACAGGGTGAATAAAGTTGATTTGTATGAGAACGGGACGATAGCTATCGTGGAAGCTGTCTCTCCCGAGTTAGGTAACCGTGTTCAGCGTGTACGCGTTCAGCTTCCGGGGTTAAGCCAAGAGCTTCTCCAGAAGCTGAGAGCCAAGAACATTGATTTCGCAGCACATAATGCTCAGGAAGACCAAGGCTCCTTGTTGTTCAACTTGATCGGTAACCTCGCTTTCCCTTTGCTTTTGATTGGTGGCTTGTTCCTTCTCTCGAGACGGTCCTCTGGAGGAATGGGTGGTGGACCCGGTGGTCCTGGTTTCCCACTTCAGTTTGGTCAGTCCAAAGCAAAGTTCCAGATGGAACCAAACACTGGTGTGACGTTTGATGACGTCGCTGGAGTTGATGAAGCAAAGCAAGACTTCATGGAAGTCGTGGAGTTTCTGAAGAAGCCAGAGAGGTTCACTGCGGTTGGTGCAAGGATCCCGAAAGGTGTTCTCCTCATTGGTCCTCCTGGTACGGGGAAAACTCTTTTGGCGAAGGCCATTGCTGGTGAAGCTGGTGTGCCTTTCTTCTCCATCTCCGGTTCTGAGTTTGTTGAGATGTTTGTGGGTGTTGGTGCATCGAGAGTCCGTGATCTTTTCAAGAAAGCTAAAGAGAACGCTCCTTGCATTGTCTTTGTGGATGAAATCGATGCTGTTGGTAGGCAAAGAGGAACCGGAATTGGTGGAGGTAATGATGAAAGAGAACAGACTCTTAATCAGCTGCTCACTGAGATGGATGGATTTGAAGGTAACACTGGTATTATCGTAGTTGCTGCAACCAATAGAGCAGACATTCTTGACTCTGCTTTGTTGAGGCCAGGACGGTTTGACCGACAGGTATATATATTATCTGATTAATGCACATTGAGATTTTAATATATAAGTATATTAGAGGTGGTGCTTAGTTATGAGTTTCTGATGCAGGTAAGTGTTGACGTTCCAGACATCAAAGGGAGAACAGATATTCTCAAGGTTCATGCTGGTAATAAGAAGTTTGAAAATGATGTCTCGCTTGAAGTAATAGCAATGAGAACACCTGGATTCAGCGGAGCAGATCTCGCTAACCTCTTGAACGAGGCTGCCATATTGGCTGGCCGGCGTGGGAAGACATCGATATCATCTAAAGAGATTGATGACTCCATTGACAGAATCGTTGCTGGCATGGAAGGAACTGTGATGACAGATAGCAAGAGCAAAAGCCTGGTTGCTTACCATGAAGTTGGTCATGCAGTTTGTGGGTAAGTGAGAAATCAAATGTAATAAAAATAAAAGCTTTTCCGTAATAAATTGTCCTAGCAAGAGTTAAATCTTTGTCATATTTGCAGAACATTGACTCCAGGACATGACGCTGTGCAAAAGGTAACGTTGATACCAAGAGGCCAAGCGAGAGGTCTGACTTGGTTCATTCCATCAGACGATCCGACTCTCATCTCCAAGCAACAACTCTTTGCAAGAATCGTTGGTGGGCTCGGTGGTAGAGCTGCTGAAGAAGTCATCTTTGGTGAGCCCGAGGTGACTACTGGCGCCGTTGGTGACTTGCAACAGATCACCGGTTTGGCTAAGCAGGTACCTACACTTTCACCTTCACATTTGTGATGAGTTTGATCTTATACTAGTAAATTGATATTGAGACTGTTGATGCAGATGGTAACAACATTTGGAATGTCTGAGATTGGACCATGGTCGTTGATGGATTCATCGGCTCAAAGCGATGTCATCATGAGGATGATGGCAAGAAACTCCATGTCCGAGAGGCTTGCAGAGGACATTGATTCCGCAGTGAAGAAACTATCAGACGAAGCATATGAGATCGCACTAGGCCACATAAGGAACAATCGTGAAGCCATGGACAAGCTTGTTGAAGTGCTTCTCGAGAAAGAAACTATTGGAGGCGACGAGTTCAGGGCTATTCTCTCTGAGTTTACTGAGATCCCGCCGGAAAACCGAGTTCCTGTCTCAACAACATCAACTCCAACCTCAACACCAACACCAGCTTCTGTCTAAAAAGTAATGAATCTGTTGTATACTTGTGATAATACTTAATTTTTCTGTACATTTTTTCACTGTCAAACTCGAGCTCTAGGAATGTGATACACTATCCCAAGTAAATGTTCAAAATTAAATTTGGTATAGTCACCAAAGCTGTGTGTTCTAGATAATTCAATCTTTAACTAGTTCCAAGTTTCAACACTTCGTTAGGATTCAGTTCAACAATCTTTAGATTCAAAGGAAATTTTCAAGCTTTGCACAAGCATATAATTAAATCGATCTTGCGATCATGTTCTGTAACTCAAACTTATATACATTTTGCAGTAAAATTGGCTTTAAGCCAATACCATGAGTTATCTGTTTCTATGAACATGAAAGACTAATAACCAACTGGATATTGGGTTGTTTTTGTTCATCCTTCCACAGCGAAAGCAGCTAACCTGAAACCAAGAGTAACATCATTGTTCAGTTTATACAATAACTATAAACTCTGGGAAAGAAACCAAGAAGCAACGTTTATCAAACCTTAAGCAAGCGTTACGCAATTTAAATGGCTACACGCCATTTCCAATACCATCACCATCTCTCTCGTTTTGCTCTTTCTTCACCCACACCATTGTAGCATCCCTCTGGTTTGGCCGGTTACGGTTACTCGATTTGGTTTGTGCCTTCCGATTTTTGGTTTCGGTTTCTCCACTTTTGATTGAGAGATGCTCAAATTGTGTTTCTATGGCCGTCGCATCATCCATAATAACAGCATTCTTACGAGATTCAACACTTATCTTCCCCATGGCTTTTTCTCCCTTCTTTCTATGAACTCGAATCCCATCTTTCACCGAAGCATATTTCTCCGTTCCACATTCGCCGACAACCTCTTCTACAGCCACACGCTGAGGATGCAAATCATGCCTCTGGTTTAACCGATTACGGTGACTCGATCTGGTTTGTGCCTTTAGGTTTTTGGTTTCTCCTCTTTTGATAAAAAGATCCTCAGAATGAGTTTCCATGTCCGTAACAGTTTTATTTCCCGTCGCCTCTTCTGGTTTCTTCCTGTAAACCCAAGTCGCGTCTTTCGCCGGTGTATTATTCTCCGCCACGACGTACTCAGGCGGCGCGATTGAACCACACTCGTCGACGACATCTTCCTTCACAGCCGCCACATCTTTATTTTCCTTCTTCTTATATCGTTTCCTACGCCCCCTATTCTTCATCGGTAAACCCTCATCTCTCGGAGCCGCATCTTCAACTCTCTCGCTCCCGATCGCCTCCGTTGCCCCATTCTCGGCGCATATTGATTCTCCGCCGTCAATAGACGACTCCTTATCCTTTCTATTTTCGCCCCAGTGCTTCCGATTACTTAGACTCAAACGCTTTTCATCGATATCCTCCCGTTTTCCTTTAATCTCCGATTTCTTCAGATCTTCTTCTATCCTTTGCTGTTCTTCAGCCAGTTGTTTCCGTCGTCTCTCTTCCTCTTCTTTTTCTTTTTCTTCTTCTTCCTTTCGCTTCCGCTCTTTCTCGTTGATCCAACGCTCCCGGAGCTGAAGGATGCTGATGTAATTTTCTGGAATGTAAGTAGTAATCCTCCTTTTGCCGTCAGTGATCTCCATTGAAATATCTTCTTCCTTCACACCCTCTCGTCGTCGCTCGTCGAAGCTGAAAGAAATAAGTACAGTAAAAAAATACTACGGAAGGGAAAAAACGAATCCTACGCAGTAGGCCCTCGACCCTAGAGGCCCATTGGCCCATTTTAGTATTTCTAATACTTTTGTTTCATCTTTTGTTCTTTTATTTCATTTATCAAATGATTTTTTATAAGGGATCCGAAAACTTGATTCAGGTTCTGATCTGTTGTTGTTCACATATGAAGAATTATAAGGTTATTTTCATTGACATATTTCTCCAAAATTAAGATATAAATATTTGGCAAAAACATTTTTAATTAATCTGAATATTTGATTAATGTCTAATAAAAATTTAAACATAAATGATATAAATCATATATATTAATTAATTTAATTTTTATAATGTGTATGTAAAAGCTATTTTGTAACGTAATCGTTTTGATTTATCAATTATATAAATTTAAACGATAATAAAAACAAAAAATAATATAAATCATATATATTTATTAGTTTAATTTTTATAATGTGTATAGAAAAGCTATTTTGTAACGTAATCGTTTTGATTTATCAATTATATAAATTCAAACGATAAATAGATAATTATTTTTAATTAGTATGAAATTAAAATACATAAAACATAACACTGAACAATTTTTTTTGAGAAATATAATAAAAATTGCTATGTTGCTTAAAAATAATTCTGATGGCTAAATATTTTTGAAGTTTGTAGCTATTTAGTGCACGTGGTAATAGTAATCCCTTAGCTGAACTTTCGAATTTCGATCTCTGCTGCTTCGTGTAAATCAACACAACAATAACACTTATGTCTCTTCATAGCTTGACACATCAGCTTTTTGAAGCTTTATAAACATGACACCTCAGCAAAAATAATCATCAATCAAAACATTTTATTAATACAACTCATCTATTTATTTTTAAATTTTAAACTTAAACCCTTTTAAAAACCCAAATACTTTTTTTATTAATCTTTATTTTATTTTTTACCAAACACAAACCCAAATTAATAACAGCAAATAAAATAAAATTAAAAAAATCTTTATTTTATTTTTTACCAAACTCAAGCTCAAATAATAAATAACAACAAAAAAATTAAAATTTTGTTTTATTTTTTGTCAAACTCAAACCCAAATAATAAATAACAACAATTAAATAATAATAAAAAATTTATAGCTATCTGTTTATTTGACAGAAACGTATATGACTGAAAAAGTGTAGGCTCAGCATCAACCATGCTTCAACGAAAAAACAAATTTTCTTCGCTTTGGTGGGAATAAGAAATTTCTCTGTTTTGCCGGGAGTAGGAGATTTCTTGATTTCGGTAGAAAAATATGATTTTCAGTTTTGGTAGCAAAACATAATTTCTCGGTTATGACTGAAAAATCAAATTCTCAGATTTGGCGGGAAAATATGAATTCTTGGTTTTGGTGAGAAAACAAAAAAAAAATTGATTTTGACGGGGGAAAAAAATATCTTAGTTTTGACGGGAAAATGCGATTTTCGGTTTTGATGCGGAATGCAACTTTTAAATTTTGACAAAAAATATGATTTCTCAGTTTTGATGGGAAATGCAAATTTTTGACTTTTGACAGATTTTTTGGTTTTTACGCAAAAATGTGATTTATAAGTTTTCACGGGAAATTGCAATTTAATGATTTTGACGGAATATAAAATTTCTCAGTTCGATGGGTAAACAAAATTTCTAGATTTTGGCGGGAATAAGCAATTTCTTGGTTTAAATAGAAAATGCAAATTTTCAGTTTTTGACGAATAATGTGATTTTTTTGGCTTTTGCGGGAAAATACAATTTCTCGGGAGATAATGCAATTTTTGGTTTTTGCGGGAAATTGTAATTGATATGTTTTGGTAAGAAAGCGTGATTTTTGGTTTGACGAGAAAATGAATTTTTTGGTTTTGGCGGTAATAGATAATTTTTCGGTTGTTGCAAGAAAATAATTTTTTTTTGTTTTGACGGAAAAATACGATTTTTTTTGTTTTTTGCACGAAGATGAAATTTTTTGGTTTTAGTGAAAACATGATTTCTTGGTTTTGGCAGAAAACACAAGTTTTTTGCTGGAAAATGAAATTTTAGGTTTTAAGTTTGACGAGTAAATATTTTTTTTTGGTTTTGGCGGGAATAGGCGATTTCTCAGTTTCATGGGAAAATGAAATTTTTTTGGTTTTGACGAGAATTGCGATTTCTCGGTTTTTGTAAGAAGATGAAATTTCTCTATGCGAAATTTCTAAATTAAAGTATGTTAAAATAATCAAAATTTAATTATTTAACTTTAACTAAAACGTTATTTCAAGAGTTCAAACAGAATTTTCTGTTTAGTTCTAAAGCAATAGCAATGATTTTGATATGAATGTTTTTGATTATAGTGTGGTAGTTTTAGAAATATGTTTATAATAAATATTTGATAATAAATAATTTAATAATTCACGATAATCGTATTAATTAATAATTTTTTTTTTAAATGACACTTTGCTTTATATAATTACAAAGGAGGATCAAATAGCAATTTATTTAAAAAAATATATTATATTTACCATTAGGATGAATGTACTAAAACTGTATTATTTTATTTTTACATATACATATATAATTAGTTAGGTAAACAAATTTAATAGCAAATTATAATTTTAAAAAATAAAAAATATACAATATTTATCTGATTTAAAACATATAAATAATAACTTTAACTGATAAAAAATTAATACAATACTCATTTATATTATAAAAATAATTTTATTATATTAAAAATATATACAAAATTTAGAAAAATATCCTGCAGCGTAGCACAGGTAAATACCTAATTAAGTTAATGAGTCAAATGGGTCAACTGGTATTAGTTCTTGACAAGAAAACATATATTTGGAACTTTATTATTTTGAGTTTTATTGGAAGTTTAAATTTAAGAACACAGGTATATACAGTATTGTGTTCCGTAAAATTCCTATGGTAATAACATATTTAAATCACGAGATTCAGATTAATTTGTAACAATTTGGCAATTATATAAAAAAAGGTTTGACTAGTGATATAGTTGTAAATAGTCAAATTTCTTAATTGCGGTAATTTGTTAGCAACTAAATGTTGACTTATTCTGAATGTCTTTGTTTTGTTTGGTAGAGTTCTACCTAACCCTGCTAAAATATAATTATAGAGATTATTTTTGACTATTTGTAAATATTTTTACTGGGAAATTTTTTTTATAATAAGTACTCTAATAGGACGTGTGTATTCGTTAATTTAGAGGATTTCAGGTGTTGGTTGGAACTTGGAAGGTGAAAAGGGAAAGAAATCTGACAGAAGAAGACATAAATCCAAAACAAAACAAAAACCATTTAATTTGTATTTGTTTAATTTGGAATATTTTGATTACATTTTTAAGTTTCTATTGATAATCAATATCTTATCTCACACACAGTCCAAGGCCATTTTTCTAAGGCAACTTGCGTCTCTCCTTCGTCCTCATCTGCCATACTTGGAACGAGTCGCTACTTCTCCTACGCTCCCTATATATTAAAACTCCCCCAACGATTCTCTCTCTCTGCTTTTGTGTTTTTTGATTTTAAGAGGTAAAAAAGAAGAGTTATGGCGATGGCGACGACAATCCGGAACGCTGCTTCACGGCGAGCTATGAGCCCGATCTCCGTCGATTTCAGTTTGAGATCTATGTCTTCATGGTGGAAGAACGTCGAGCCTGCTCCCAAAGATCCAATCCTCGGAGTTACCGAGGCTTTTCTCGCTGATCCCAGTCCCGAAAAAGTTAATGTTGGTGTGGTGAGTCCCTCTCTCTCGCCTTGTTCTTCTGCGTTTCCCTGCTATTACAGATCTTATAAATATTGATTTTCATTCTTATCTTTAGAGATCTTTCCCGGAGACTGTTTATAGAATATCTGAAACTAACAATCAGAATTGAAATTTTTTCAAAATTCATCCTCAAATGAATAAAACAGTAATTAACAGATTTGGTTCTTAAAACAGTAACATCTGTTTGCATGCCTGACTTTACTCTTGGTTGATGAAGCTATCTATATTACTTATTTCTTGAGCTGGAAAAATCATGTAGGGAGCATATCGTGATGATAATGGCAAGCCTGTTGTCTTGGAATGTGTCAGAGAAGCTGAGCGAAGGATCGCTGGGAGCTCCTTCATGTAAGATTTCTACTTTTTCTTTTCTCCTCAAATGAGATAACTTTAATGCTTCTGTTGAATTACTGGGAAAAAGAAAATGATTTTTCAAGTTTTTGTAATGGGTAAAGTTCCTGAATTGTAATTGAAGAAAAGAATGTGTGTGCTTGGCTGATTTTATCTAATTTGCTATATGGTGATGATACTTTCTAATTTATTATCAAGTTGTTTACTTTTGACTTCAGCTGATTAACTTTACAATATACCTAAGTCTGCACATGTGATTTTTTAATTGAATAGTATAGCTTGTTGTGATAGGTTCTTAAAAAGTTGAGATTGCACTCAGATAGAACTGCCTGGTTCTGTTCAAACTTCTCTCGTTTTTGTATATTAAGATATGTGAACCCTTAAGTTTGTATGCATTTTGTTAAGAAGATCAACTTAAGACTGAATCTGAACTATATCTGTTGTGTTAATCGATTAAAAGGGAGTACCTTCCTATGGGAGGGAGTGTCAAAATGGTGGAGGAAACATTGAAGCTTGCCTATGGAGACAACTCTGAATTTATCAAAGACAAAAGAATAGCTGCAGTTCAGTCTCTATCTGGAACTGGAGCATGCCGACTGTTTGCAGATTTCCAGAAACGTTTCTGTCCCGGTTCACAGATCTACATTCCGGTACCAACCTGGTCCAAGTGAGTTTCATAGAGCTAACTTTGGTCATTTTCAATGTTAAACCCAAAATATTTTACTTTGAAACTGTGGCCAAGAGTCCTTCGCTTCACCCGAAATAGTAATAGCTTATGTTGTCTTCTTGTGAACAGCCACCACAACATCTGGAGAGATGCACAAGTCCCTCAAAAGACATATCATTACTATCATCCAGAAACCAAGGGCTTGGATTTCTCAGGATTGATGGATGATGTGAAGGTTAGCAAGGACAACATCTTCGACAAGCATATTTACATCTTATAACTTGTTAATAACATGCTAATTGTTTTAAGACTTTTTTTCTCATAGAATGCTCCGGAAGGCTCGTTCTTCCTCCTCCATGCTTGTGCTCATAATCCTACTGGAGTGGATCCTACTGATGAACAATGGAGAGAGATATCACAGCTATTCAAGGTGAGATAACTCATTGATTTCTTGTATTTACTTGTCTATCATTCACTTTTCTTCTTCCTGATATTCTACCGCAGAGTCAGAGACTAACAGCGAGTTGTCATTTCAGGCCAAAAAACATTTTGCATTTTTTGATATGGCATATCAAGGTTTTGCTAGTGGGGATCCAGCGAGAGATGCCAAGTCCATCAGGATCTTTCTCGAGGATGGTCACCATATTGGAATTTCTCAGTCCTATGCGAAAAACATGGGACTCTATGGCCAAAGGGTCGGATGTCTCAGGTATTCATATTCCTCAGCAATCTCTTTGAATCCCCATTTTTCTTCGTACGCTTAGGGAACTTAAAGTCCTTAACTGAATATGAGTCATCAACGTGTATGAAATAGCCAATGTAGATATCCAAACACATCATTATGCATATCCACACATGTTCATTTAGTGAGAAAGTGAGAACGGAACATAAACATGACTACTTTGTCTTGTGCTGCAGCGTGCTTTGTGAAGATGAAAAGCAAGCCGTGACTGTGAAAAGTCAGTTGCAGCAACTAGCTAGACCAATGTACAGCAACCCACCTTTACATGGAGCTCATATAGTCTCAACCATTCTTGGAGACCCAGAGTTAAAGAGTCTGTGGCTAAAGGAAGTCAAGGTAACATTCCACCATATTGTTATCGACTTATCGCCGTACCTTTTAGCTTCCGCATGGAGAATCTCATCTTATGCTTTCATTAATCACCTTGCATCCCATGTTCACTCTGTTGTGTTTGATAGTTAAACAACACAATTTAGAATCTGACAACCCATATTATGTAAACTCTATCACTGAACAGATCATGGCTGATCGGATAATTGGCATGAGAACTACTTTGAAAGAAAGCCTTGAGAAGTTAGGATCGCCTCTGTCATGGGAGCACGTAACCAAGCAGGTAACTTACAAAAAAAGTTTTTATCTTTTGATGAACATGTCCACTTCTCTCCTATGATTCACACAATTACATAATCATATCTATATGGGAAAACAGATTGGAATGTTCTGCTACAGTGGGCTAACACCAGAACAAGTCGACCGCTTAACAAGCGAATATCACATCTATATGACTCGAAACGGCCGTATCAGGTGCTTCATTTCTCCAAATTCTTAATTTTGTAATGCATTTCAAGTGTTGGCAAATCATTGAGAGGTGCTTGATGTTTGGTTGCAGTATGGCTGGTGTTACGACAGGAAATGTGGGATACCTTGCGAATGCTATACATGAAGTCACCAAGTCATCATCTTAAACTATTTACATGCCTCAAGGGCAAACATAAAATTTTCGTTTTGGAACAGTTAAATAAGACAGAGGAGGCTAGATTTGTGCTTCTGCAATTTTTTTCGTTGGGTACTGAAAGGGTTAACCCATAAACAGTAACTTATCAGCGCATTTTTTCTTAGCTGCGTAATAAAATGAGCAGCATTATAGACACCAAATCGTTGTTGATCGATTCTTGGATATTTTCAAAACTGGTTTTAAGGGAAAATTTGGATTGTTCTCTTCTCCATGTGCTCTGTTGCATCATGTACTGTGTACATATTGATCTATTGATATATTTTTGCTGAATGAAAAAAAAAAAAAGTAGAATCGTATTGCTATGTCGGATATATATCAGCTCTTTGTGTAGTAACTGATATTTAGATACCATCGACTTATTGTACATTCAGTATTTATAATTCTTGAATCATAGAGACTCCACTTTCAGTTTTGGCTCCTGTTACCCCGAGGATTCATGTGTGCTGTGTCTCGTGGACTAACCCTTTGGTCCCTTGCCCTAAAAGGCAAAATGTTCCCGAGCTGATTCATCCGCCTTAGGCGCCTTCTTTCAAGTATGTCTTGTAGAATAGAATCTCCCCTCCCCCGAGAATCTGTAACGGTGTTGACAGAAGGCAGTTCACGGCGGCAGATAGGGCAAGAATTGTGAAGCCTGAGCCATGGGGCTATACAGTTGTTATGGTAAATGTGTTTACATGGTAGTTCTGTTGCTTTCCGGCCAACAATGAAGTCCTCCATGCACACCGTGCACTGGGACATGTCGTTGGCTAGATGTTGTGGCGTAATCTTCACGGTCGGTAGGGCATCAATGGTGGGTTGTGATGCAGGTGGTGGTGATCCAGGGCTATCGTCTTGTGTTAGCTGTTCAATACGCTGGTCTAAGCCTGATGCTCCAGTAAAGAAACCACGTGGGTTCGAACGCTGAGGTAGAGGTCGTGCTGGATTTGGTGGCTCAATCATGGGCCGGAGTCTTGCATATGATCTTCTCGGTGCACCATTGTTATCACTGTCGAGGCTGTGACGTCGTGGATGGTGGTGCGGTCGGGGTCTTGGTTCTGGTTCCATGTTTCTTGTTCTTTCCCCGAGAAACCGGTCTGCACCGAGTCCACCAATGATTGGATGATCGAGGTGGTGAGGTCGGGGTCTTGGTTCTGGATTTGGTGGCTCAATCATGGACCGGACATATGTTCTTCTTGGTTGAGGTAAACCACCATTGTTATCATCATTGTCAAGGCTGTGACGTCGTCGATGATGGTGCGGTCGGGTTCTTCGCTCTGGCTCCATGTTTCTTGATCTTTCCCTGAGAAACGGGTCTGCGCCGAATCCACCTATGATTGGAGGATGGAACATGAGGGACAGAGCTTCGAGAAGACGAGAAACATCAAAAGGTGGAGCGTCATGATAGAAAGCAATCTGAGGCTGTCTCGTCTCAATCTCGACGACAAACTGCGTCAAGCACCGTGGGCACTGGATCTCTGATAGGTTAGAGGGTGCAATCCCTCTATAGTTGCAATGGTAGCACCTGTAGTGGCCAAATGCTCCATTGGGTGCACCATAGGTCCATGTTATGGGCAGACTCGATGACATGAAGAAATTGTTATTAATGCAAGGCATACAAATATTTAAACATTATATAGACAAATGTTAGAGGGTTGTTGCATGAAGCAATTGAACAATGCAGATTCTAGTCAAATAACTGAAATAAGGGGTCTTGTTTTCTTTACAAGGCAAAGCATGAGATGGATGAAGACGCAATGCACAATGCTCATTTCTTCCACTTCAAATGTCTTTCAAGATTGCCTCTCGTTAAAGGCTAGAATCATTTCTCGGATCCATTCATTTAAGGCCTTAAGGCCCGGCCCGTTAGAGAATCAGTAGCTCGGGTGTAAAGAAACTATCATCAAAAAAATCAAATTGAGAAGTCTTATAATACCTACCTATGCAGAAACTTTACATTCTTCTCACTTACATATAAGCTCCGATTCTGTTATTAGGCTTTAAGTTTTAGACATCATCATTCCATTACTCCAACATCTTACGGGTTTTTTTTTGTCTTGCAGATCCGTTGAATGGTCTTACGGACAAAAACATATACAAAATACACGAGAAAAAGTATCTCTCTACAAGTCAAAAGTTAAGAGATAACAAAAACAAAAATAGAATATAATTAGACACAATCATCATCACCTCCTGATTTCTCAAAAAAGGCTTGAATTGGCCACTTATAAGGAGGAGATATCATCTCTACTCAGAAGCTGATATTGAGAGTTATAATCTGTTGACCCTCTGAAATCAGAAAGAAGTATAATCCTCTCTCCTCTTTTCCATCAGGCATTTGCTCTGCGAAGCAATCTCAGTTTCGATATCGATTCTAATGACCAGCTTGAAATGGAAAGCCTCCACCATTCATCTGTCGCCTAATGTGCTCCGGTATTAGCCTGTTTATAAGCTCTGGTGAAGCCCCTGATATCTGTGTTTGAAAGAGATAAACAGAGTTTTTTTTTTAAGTAAATGTTTTAACACTAAACATCAGTTATTATTGTTGGTTTTAAGGCAAAGTGAGTTAACGTGTTACTACCTCTTGTTTGAAGTTGAACAATGGTGGTAGAGGTCGGCCATTTGGAAGACGAGCATTGGGCTCACGGAGTTCATTGAAAAATGGGTGAGCACATGCTTCGAGCTTTAGACACGGAAACAAACATATGTCAGGTCCAAACAAATCCAGAGAGAACCACTCACCACTCTAAGAACTCTGGAGTACTTGGTTGGTTTAGAGATACTGACCGCAGTGCAACGTAGGCTCGGTGAATACTGAAGAAGCCGAGATGCGAGGTCAATGGCTTCTGGAGGCATCCGCTTATGGAAAACCTGTAGGTCATAAAGCAGTATTTGTATTCATTTCCTCTTATTTGTATGATCGCAAAAGTTAGAATGTGATATGATAATACCTTATGCCACGGGTGAGCTTTGATTTGTGGGAATCTAAAGTCTGTGTAGTTTGGATTCATGCATCGGATTTCTTCTCGAGTAGGAGTACCAAGAACCTAAACCAACGCAGCACATGTATCATGACAAATCTATTTAAAATATAGAAATTTTATATACCAGAGAGAAAAAATGACGCCAAGGTAAAATACTAATCAAGACGGGACTTCACCTTGATGATCTCCACTAGCTGGTCCACAGAGTTTTCTCCAGGGAATAACGGCTGAAGATAAATGATATCAAATTGATTGCGGAAGATTCTGGAGAGATTCATTAGTACTCTTAAGGTTTTTAATAGATAAATGAAATCACTAACCTGGCCAAGAAGGAGCTCTGCCAAAACACAACCAGCGGACCATATATCTATGGAGGAAGTATACTCTGTGGCCCCAAAGATGAGTTCTGGAGCTCGGTAGTATCGAGAGCAGATATATGATATGTTTGCTTCACCTTTTACCTGATGTGAATAGTCAGATGTTGCAATATGTCACGATAACAAAAAAGAAAGCGGAATGGATAAGAGGAGAAACCCTCTTACCAATACTTTTGCACTTCCAAAATCACACAGCTTACACACATGGGTGAGGGGATCAACCTACAGAAGGCACCAGATCATTAGATTACGAAATATAGTCAAGGTTACCAGAAGACCAAAACCAAAATATAGATTAATGTACCAAAAGATTTTGTGGTTTCACGTCTCTGTGACAGACACCAGGAGCAGTATGGATATAGGCCAAGCCTCTGAAGATCTGCACACAAATATTTTCTAACCCGTTTCAGGATCAACATAGAGCAAGAGTATATTATGTAAGAGTAAACAGTAAATAACAAATGCATACTTGGTATGTGTAAAGTTTGACATAGAAGATAGGCATTCTCTGGTTTGAACTAGTATAGTGCTTCAAAACCCGGTACAAAGTCTCGGGCACATACTCCATGACAAGATTGAGGAAGAGCTCATCTCTACTCGTTGTAGAGAAGAAGCAATGCTTCAAGGATACCACATTTGGGTGATCCATTAGTCGCATTAACTGCAACTCACGATTTTTGTAGCGCCGATCTTGCAAAACTTTCTTAATGGCTACTGATTCTCCAGTTTCCAAGCACTTGGCCTAGAATGGTAAGTTCATAAGTAGATCAGAAAGGAAAGAATAAAAAAAAAATTATAGTCTACAAATACTAACAATGGCAAACACAATGGTACCTGGAATACAATTCCGAATGATCCTGTTCCAACAACCCGTTCGGCCATGTAACTGATGGTCTGTAATGGTCAGAAAGAGGAAAAACATAAGCGAGATCAAAGCCTATTTAGTTATTTGTTTAAGTTATAAGTGGAAAATCAACTTCACAAATGATTAACCTAAACTTTTAGGTAATATAGACCAACCTGTTTAGGTTCACCGTTTTTGCCTCCAATTGTAGTAGAGATGATGTGACCGGTCACAGCATCATTTCCCTCTATAACCGCAGGAGTCATTTCCTGAAATCAAACCTGAACATATTATTACAGGCATTAAACTAAACTACTCTTGTCAACAAAGAATAAAGGAAACTGATAACATTTAGTGCGCTTTCTGCTGTAATAAACAGATCAAGAATGACTGTATGATAATCAACAGACATATCAATCTTAAGGTTTGAATCATTTTTCACTGAGTCTTTTAAATAGCCTTCAAAATCAAAGAACAGTTCAGGCCCGGATTACAGAAAATTCAATCAAGTAAACAAAAAAAAAAACAAACTGTAAATCTGAATGATGTCGCATGTTCCTATTGACCAGAGGCTAACTTGATAGAAACAAATTCTAGAGAAAAGAAATGCACTGCATACTTAGTTGTTTAAGATAAAGGAAAACTAAAAAGTGGTAATGAAAATTCATGGGCAGAACAAGATAAGGATGTCAACCATTTTGTACAAAATCAAAAAGACACAATCATTACACACCATGGAAGGAACACTGTCAGGTTGAGAACAGAACCAAAAGAACACAAAACAAAACAAAAAGAGTAAAGAATCAATACAGAGTGTAAAAAGAATGAATGGGCCAAGAATTTATATAATTACAAGAACACTCCAAAACCTGCCTGGGGAAAACTTGAAGATGAACAAAGTACTTTGTAAAGTAAATACAGTAGTGTATTGAAAAACCGAAATATGAAAATACAAAAGCTAAATAAGGTAAGAGAATCAGCTAACGAATTATATTATATAGATGAAAGGGCAAAACGATGTTAAGGAGAATAAAAACAAGCTACTAAGATCTACAATACATCTTGCAAGTTTAATTTTACCCAGAGACATGAATTTTTCTTTACCCTATTTTTTTTTTTTTGTTTGCTTCAAAGGTTAACACTAGTAATCAAAAATAGCTCGAGACTCGAGAGATCAGGATCTTCAGTAGCAAATAGTTAAAATTTTCAGCTGGATATAAAAGTAAGACTAGCTACAACGAAGTCAAATTCGCAATCTAAGCACTTCGTGTGAGAGCTCAAATCAGGAACGCGAAACGAAAAACAACACGAGAGCACGAGAAGAAGACAGATCGATTCGCTGAGAAACCTAAACCAAGGATTCAATCCGAGCTAGATCTAGCCGAGATCTAGAACAGTCACCAAACCAAACAAAAAAAAATAAATTGAAATGCTGTTTACCAAACCAAGACGTAAAGGATCAAAGAGAGTGAGAGAGACACACACAAGCGGAAAGTTAACCTTGTCTGTATCCATATCGGGACGGCGTTTTAAAGCATCTCCGTCGCGAAGCTGCGGCGGCTGTAGAGACGGAGGCTGAGGCCCCAATGGCAGCGAGGTCATGTGCTTTACAGCTCTCTCTCTCTCTCTCTCTCACTTTCTCTCTCTACCCCACTGAAGAGTAAAGACTATTTTTTTTCTCTCTCTCTCTCTCTCTCTCATGTGTCTAAACTTCAGAAATCGTTCAAAGATAAAAGGAGGACCCACACGCGGATAGAGCGCGTAACTCTTACGCTCCAATGAGAGCGCTAATTTAGTAATTACTGTAGTTACTCATTAATTAGCAGTGAGGTTTATACTGAAAAGTCTGATAAATGTGATAGCCTGGCAATCCCTTAATCAATAACTGGTACAATTAATTTGTGGAGGATAAATATTACTGTTACTTAATCATAGATATTACAATATAGTGCCTGGAGATAAACATTTTTCCTAATTTGGGTAACAAAGTGATAACATTTGCAGATTTTATAAAGAAAATTACTGAACTGGAAAAAAAAATAGCACCAACATCCATGTCTTTTAGTGAAGAGATTGTCCAATAGATATATTGCAAACCATAAACTTTATGGTCCAACAACCATTTAAACTTCATGATTTAGTAGTACTAACGAAATTTAAAGAGTACAAATTACATTTAATGCTGATGCTAAAGATAAACCATTGTTACCGTAAATTGAATAAAGTCTTATCCATAAGGATTTTATTTCATTTCAGATCCATCATTTACATATAGATTTCTTTCTTTTTTTTCATTAAGATCAAATATTTCTTTTGTTGGCTTTTAACAAACGACTGGAGGTGTAGAAGCAGACGCTGCGGCAGCAGTTGCAGCTGCAGAGGCTCCAGCAACAGCTGAAGTTGTAGCTCCAACGTGATCTGTTCTGTGTTTCTTTTTACTATTTGGAGATTTTTTGTGACCGGTGCAAACAAATATGGCCGAGGCTATTACGGAGAAGGTGGCTGCAACCACCAACATCCCCCAAACTAAACCGTAGCCACCGGTTTGGCCGTTGCTCAAAAAGTTTCTCCCCATACCCCTCTTATGTATATTTTGGTTTAAGTTCGAGATTTTAGTTTCGGTTTTGGGTGAGAATTTATATGCTTTTAGATGTGAGAAATGAAAAAACATTGTGTCTAGATCATTCTTTGAATGGACAATATTGGCTTACGTGACGTGTGTGTTTACGTAGGAATACGATCTAAATCCAGAAGTTTCTTTGATGTCATCTTAAGATTTTTTTGGGGTTAATAGAGCAAGATGGCTTTTTTTTCAACGTGTTGTAACATTTTTTTTTTTTTGACATCCAACGTGTTGTAACATTTTGGTTCAGTTTGAGAATTGAGAGGGATGTTTAAGGTCTTTGAACTTAGCACATGGATGATTGTATTCCATTAGAATATATTTTTATTCTACATTTCTCAATTAATATCGAAGAAGGTCGCCATATTTTGTAGGTTAAGCCAAGAAAATCTCATAAATGGTTGTTGTAAATTGGAATTGTGGAGGCAGAAGCAACAAGATCTTGTTTAGGTAATGGCATGTTTGTATAATCTTGGCTACGAAGAGAGAGTTTTCGAGAGTGATTCAAAGATTTTGGTGAAAGCAGTAACTGAACCTCGAGAATGTTAAAGTTTATAACAAAGGAAATCAAAGAGATAAGAAAAAGAAGATTCATTCGGCCACAATCATCACTTTCAAATGGAGAGACAACCCAACCAATGTGTCGATCTTATAGCCAAAGAACCTCTTCATATGAAGTTTATTATGCAATTCTTGATTATATAATACTCTATCATTGGATGAGTCCAATGGTTGAGAAGGAGAAACTAAACAATTGTTCTTGGTTATAGTTTTTAAGAAACTATTTTGAGCTCGAAAAAAGACAAAACAAAAGTTGCATGATGTTAAAATGATGGTAACTCTCCTAAATTAACCCAAAAATTTGATGACAACTCCTCCATTATTACTGGTTTCGATCCTATACTAATACATTTAGGTTATAATCTCAATTTCAACTAACTTTTTTATTATAGTATAACATGACATGACTCAAAAAAACTATAACTTGACAAAGTGAAGTACAAACGGTAGAAGTGTAGCACTATTAAAGTAGCATAATACTTAATATTGCTGATTATAGGATGATGCAAGAATCCGATCCGATGCTGCATCAAATAGATATTAATTGCAACTAGTCATATTATGCACACTTCGTACGTAGGTATGCCTAGGTGTTCTAAGAGAATCAGCTATAAATACAAATACGTTTTTTTAAAGATACCAAATAAATATTTAGAAACCTCCACCACCACCACCACCACCATCACCACCGCCACCACCATCACCACCGCCACCATCACCGCCACAACCGCTTCCACCGCCAATACCATTTTTTTTTTTTGACTTTTCGCCGCAAACAAATACGGCCATGGCTATTGTGGAGAAGGTGGCTGCAACCCCCAACATCCCCCAAACTAAATCAAAGCCACCGGTTGGACCGTCGTTCAGTAAGCTTCTCACCATATTAAAATTCTCTTGTGTATATTTTGGTTAAGTTTGAGATTTTAGATATGCTTTTAGATGTGAGAAATGAAAAGCATTATTTGTAGGTAGTTCTCTGAATGGATAATGTTGGCTTACGTTTGTGTGGTTACGTAAGCGTTAAGATGCAAATCTACAAGTACTTTTGGTGTCATCTAAGAAAAATAGTGTGTTGGTTTATATGAGATGGCTACTTTTCAACGTGCTTTTACATTTGGTTCGATGTGCAGGAAATGTTGAAAAGTCTTGGGAGATAAACTGGTCGTCCCTGGACGGCTGGACGATCGTAATCCATTTCTTTGATTAATTTGTTTAATAATTCATTATTTGGAGTTCTGAACATTTGAACTAATTAATAATTACAACACACAAAAATCGCATATATGTTAGATTCTGAATTTACTTTATGGTTTTAGGTATAAACTTTAGGTGGAACCAATCCAATTATTGACTTATTGTGGGAGGTTGATATAATTGTTTTGTTTTTTTCTTTTGTTGATATTTTTTGTTCGATTAGCAGTACCTATATATAGAACGGCTGCTAAAGTAGATGATCAGTCACAATCGGTGAAAGCCTAATTAGGTAAATTTATCTTCTTATTATTATAGTTTTAGGCAATTGCCACATTTTCTTAATTAAGTTGGCTTAAGCCTCTGCGAGTCCAGGCACAGCTCTGCGTATAATCCAAATAATGTTTGTATACATGCAAATCTTTACAACATCTCTTTAAGGTGGAAGAAATATCGGTCACATTTTCATACTACATTTCGTAAATTTTTCTTTTGTTATCCATTTTGTAGGTTGAGACTAGAATTTTCTTGAAATATGTTGCACACCGGATTCATATTATAATGGCTTCGAAGAACATAACAACACATTTCCATCTACTATAATCTCATTTTCAACCAATTCTTCTCTTAAAAGTTATAAACATGATATATATATATATATATATATGTAATACTAGCAAATGATATATATACAACCCGTAGAAGGATTTCAGTTTAGTATATATATATATATATATATGTAATACTAGCAAATAACTACGTAAAGTAGGTCATCCAAATACATGTAAATCTACAAGTATTTTTGAGATGGCTACTTTTCAACGTGATTTAACACTTGGTTTGATATGCGGGAATGTTACAAGTCTTAGGATCAGGTTCCTGGACGTAGCACATGGACGATCGTAAATTCGTAATCCATTTCTTGGAATACTGTTTTAATAATTCATTATTTGGAGTTCTGAAAATTTGAACTAAATTTACAAAAAGGAATCGCATATATATATATATATATATTAGATTCTGAATTTACTTAATAGACTTTTGTGAAACCAATGTTGATATAATTATATGTTAGATTAGCAGCATGTTCTATAATGTAACTATATATAGAACGGTTGCTAAAGTAAATGAGTCACAATCGCTCTTTAGAGTGGAACTGTGGAAGTTATAATCTCAATTTCAACGAATTCTTCTCTTAAAAGTTATAACATGATATATATATATTGAAGTTATTAATTAAGATGTTTCTTACAAATGATAGAAATATTAGTCCGAATACGTTCGGATTAGTAGTTAAAACCAGACGAACTCACCAAAGACCAAGAGATATCTCATTTGTGTAATACTAGCAACCGCCTCCTCCACCACCACATCCGCCTCCACCATCACAACAACCGCCGCCTCCACCACCACCACCACCAATGCAACCGCCACAGCTACCGGAACCCTTCTTCTTTTTCTTTTCCTTGGAGCAAACAAAAGCCACCATGGATACAAGTGATAAAGACAGAAGAATCATGAAGATCAACAAAACATCCCCAAAAGCAGCAGCTTCATTCATATCTAAGTCACCTGATGAAGAAACCTCTTCTTCGAAATTTATTTCTTTCTCTTTTTACTTAAAACGTTTTGATCCTTCCTTACATGGCATTATATATAAAGAGGTTGAAACTTCAATTTATTACACCAATATTGTTTCAATAGCTCCTCTCTCTTTCTAGTTTCATTTCAATTCTGCAGTTTTCAGGTTTCCTTTCTAGTGCTACATTTTCAGAAACATAATTACAAAAGAACAAACAGTAAAGTCTATTGGTAGAGAATAAAGAACTGCAAAGGAAACAGTGTCACGTGGAATTATGGAGTATTATTGCCACAAATTCTCTGTTAACATGAGCTGTACATCACTTCAACAAGAAACCTCCCCCACACAAGTGACAGATAATATTTTGAGACAACTATCTATCTCCATAGCTTTCTCTTTTTAGGAACCTTTTGATTCAGATTTACAAAAATAATTAAAGAGAAAACTTGGAAGATGAACTAAAAAACCCCAAACTTTATTGGCCAGCCCTTCTTTATTCTTGAAATTTACAAGTAACTTGGTGAGAAAAATTTACAGTTTCTGCGTTACTTCCGGTGAGAAAGTTATTGTCTTGTTATGCCTCAGGTATAGCGTTGAGTGTCTCCTGAAAGACCAAAACATGTTCAACAAGTAAGCTAATCAACTTGCTAAAGAACAAATAGTTGGCCAAAGCATTGACTTTGAAAATTAAGACACATTTGTTTACCTTGGAGAAGCATACAAACCCTTGCTGTGTATTGGAGGTTTTGACCATAGTTTCCCACTTTGGATCTGCTTGAATCTTGGTGAAGTGACTATTATCATCAGTGTCAAGAGACTGTAACCATGCGAATGAGTTTTTCTTTGATGGGATCGTTGGTAACGTACGCTTTAACCAAGAATCTGACGGAGCTTTTGGTAATGGTGGTGGAGGAACAATGTGATAAGATGAACGATGATGAAGCCTGGAGCTTTCAAGATTTGTAGCTTTTCTCTGTTCAAGATCAATCCTCTCCTTTGTGATCTCTGCTACCACAATAGCTTGATCAGGACACTCAACGATATTCTCATCTCTTTGAACTTTCATTTTCTCTTCACCGGGTCCAACCAAGTTCTCAACATCTTCTTTAACAGGAACAACGTCTTGTGGAGAATACTCTTTGAATAAAGGTTTCTCCTTGGACTCTTCTTGTACCTTCTTGTCTACCGAATGCACAGTGTCTACATACAGCGTTTTCTCGGCCACATGATCATCGGAAGAAGGTTTCCATGTATTATCATCACTAGCCAAGAGCTCACCAAAGTTTTTGCTGATTTTAGTGCGTGAAGCTGCGCTTAAGTTCTCGAGTTTCTCTTTTCCTTCTTGAATTGAAGATACTGATAATGACTCGCCTTGAGAAGAAGACCCTTGTGCAACTGATCCATTTAGTTTCAACTTCCTCTTATCTTCATTCACAGTTTCATTGTTTTGCTATGGACAAAAAAAGAAAGATACATGATTAGAATAAAAAGCACACAATGAAATGACGAAAGGGAAATGGAAAATCAATTACCTTGTTCTGATTTTCATTAGAAGGTGTAGTAGAATCTTGATACTTAGAACGCATACGGCGAACAGAAACAGCTCTCTGTGCCTGCATTCTCACAGATGGAACCGGATTCAATACTCCAAAAGAGGTTCTCAAGCAGACCTGAGGCACTAATCCACAAACACCAGAAGCCATCACGCTGCTGCTCGTGTCTCCATCTTCCTCTTTCTCTTCAGTCGAATGATGAAACCGATATGGATTTTGCTCAGCTTTGCTCTGTTTCTCCTTCTTCACCAACATCTGCCTCGCCGGTTCTTCAGGCTTAAGCGGTTTCCTAGCAAGATGTGGAGGTGTCTCTGAGGTCAAGGCTTTAGCCGCAGGCAAGAATCTCCCCATCATTAGATCCTGAGTTTGTCTATCACTCGACAATGTTCCAAACGGCTCAACAAGCATCCCATGACCATCCACACCACTAACATTACTACAGTTGAAGAAAAACGACTCAGTTCTTGAAAGCGTATCATTCGCATCAAGATAGGTACCATCACTATCATCATCATACCGAGAAGTACAACTCTTTGCAGCAACCTCCACATTACTACTACTACTACCACAAGTTTTGGTCTGTTGATTATTAGCTCTAGCTTCTTCAGGTTTCCTCCTCCCAGGAGGAAGCTTTGGCACAAAATGCGTCTCAACAAAAGCTTGTGAATCCGGTTTTTTCCTTTCGTCTTTTGGTTTTCCCGGTTTATGTTCCCATTGGAAAGGGACAGTTCCTGGATTCCTTACAGGACCTGACTTGATATCGGACTTGTAAACCGGTGGAGAAGGAGGGATCTTGTTTGTTGTTACTGAATCAGAGGGTCTTGTTCTGCTCTCGGATTCTGAAGTTTGTGTTGGCCGTCTAACGGATATAAGCGGGCGGTTGAAATCTAATTGCTTATCTTCCATCATTAAGCTCCCCATTAACATCAAATCCACTGTTTCTGCAATAAACAAATTCATCATTAGAAGACAATTGCAAGAAACTTGTTAAATTTTGCAGCTTTGTTCTTCCTTGTCAAGAATCTAAGCCAAAATTATCACATTTGAAACCGAAAATCAAATAAAAACTCATTACTTCATTAGTCATCGACAGAGAAAAAGTCTTTTCTTTAGCCGACTTGATTGATACAGTAAGATTTTTTCTTTCTTTCTCAGCTTCTTGAAAAACTTATCCAGATTTTCTTTCATCGTCAAATAAATTTTCCAGGCAATAAAAAAGATTTTAATATTTAATACCCCACAAGAATATTAAACCCCACAAAATACAGATTCATCAAATGTTTACGCGTGAGCCCATTCTTTATGAATCCAAATCAATTAGAGGGGAAAAAAAAATTAAATCTTTTTTCTTTCTTTCCAGTCGAAATCTGCCATTAACAAGCAATTACTTACAGCTACATATTCGTACTCACTGTGTATAAAGCAGACGAACAGAGAGGAACGGAAAAACAAAGCTAAAGACTGAAATTCTTTTTGAAGAAACAGAGTAAGGAAAGTAGCTTCTTTGAAGTTTGAAAGCTCTTAAGTTGTGACAGCGAAATGGGTTTCAAATAACACTGCGGCGAGAAGAAGACGACCAATAAACACGCAGATATGCAAATACATGCATATATATATATATATATATATATATAGAGAGAGAGAGAGAGAGAGAGAGAGAGAGAGAGAGAGAGAGAGAGAGAGAGAGAGAGAGAGAGAGAGAAAGGCCTAGGTAAGATACCAGTGAGAAAACGCGGGATTGAAGAGAGAAGACGAGATTAGAGAGGAGAGGAGAGGAGAAGAGAAGTGATTTGGGAGAGAAAATGATGAAGAGAAGTGGTGAAAAGGGAATATAATGAGGTTGTCATATTCGTCATTCCTCTTTAGGCTGCGTCATTTTTTCATTCTTTAACTTTTTAAAATAAAATTCGTAATTAAATTTGTATATATCTATTGCATGGTGATTAATTTAGTACTTAAAATGGAATTTTATTTTGGTTTCTTCTTTCTTTCTGTTCACATTAGTTACCTTTACCCTTATGTCTCTATCAACACATTTTCTTACGACCGTATCATGTGCTTCGTATAAATAGGGGGAATTTAGTAGGCATGCATTAGTATATTATGTTCAACGATTTAATTATTCAAATCGATTACATATTATAATGATTACTTAAAATTTTCAGAGATTTTTGAGTATTAATTATGAATGGTTGGGGAAAAACAATGAATAAAATGGATAACTACCACATGATGTTATTCAGCTTTTCTATGATACAGGATGGGACGATAAGTATATACTAATCTCTTAATGTAAGGTATTGGCAACGAGAACTATATACATTTCTTAGGATTTGAAATTTTTAAAACTCTAGTCTACGATAATAATATTTATATGTTAAACTAATTCATTTATATAATAAGTACAACATCTCTTTTTAGCAAGTATCAATAAATCCAACTTTCATAAATCAAATTTGTGAATGAGTTTAAGGGAACAGATCCAATTTACAAGAGAGAAAGAAAAAAACAAATAACAAAAGTGCAAAAACAATAGATTTAAATAATGGAGAGAATATATAGTGGGAGAGAAAGAATATAGCAGCTGCTAGGTTGTCAATAATATAGTATTCAAACAAATAGAGACAGTAGTGACCAAAACAAGAAAGAAAGGAACCTTTTTTCTCACATTGGGACTGTAGATAATGATACGTTACTTCTTTTTTCACAACTAATGATACGTTACTTTACATTCTTGATTTCAGAAATTGCTTTTTATTTGATATGTTATCATTATGAGTCCAAAATCTAGGTTTGTAAGTTGTAGTAACAAACAAGATTCACTTACCTATGACCTTTTTTCGAGATCTAAACTAGTCATACTCTTTTAAAAAAACTTCATTTGATAGGAAAAAAACCCAACTCTATAAAGAAAATGTATTTTTCTATTGAACGTTCGAAAAATGCAAGGACATGGGTGTACTTAATACAGTCATCAGATCTCCATTCGTTCGTCATTAAATCATGTGAGGGTGGTCATCGGTTACTTTTATTTTTGTAGTATTTGGTATTTATTGACGTGCGTAATCCGTGATGGGACGTAAATTATGTTAGAATATAACATTTAATTAAATCTCATCCAATATAGTATATGATGACCGACGTAACTGGTCTGGTGGTCCACTTGTTATTGACAAAGTTTCGTTCATTGCTCGAGTCTATAAATATGGAATGTTTATTTATTTGTTTTTGTTAAAGAACATATGTGGAATGTTTTTTTCCTTTTCAAACGTATTAACTAGTTAGTTTCTTATAGTAAATTGGGTTTTCTGAATCTTTAGTTTAGAATAATATAACTGGCAGTTGAGTAGCACAGTGTACCGTCCAAATTGATGCGCCATAAGCCCATGAGGTTTTTTCAAAAGACACAGACACGAGAGCAAAATCATTCATCTATTTGGTTTGTAGCTAATTAGTTAGATAATTCATCTATCATTAGTTATACAGTTTATCGGATCTCACTAACCAATTTTATCTCATTATGACAAGTTGTTGGCGTCAAACTCTTGTATTTGAGAGAATTGATCGAAATGGTAAAGCTTAACAATGGTGATTGGGTTGTTAGATCTCTTCTCCATATACCTAGTTCTTTAGTTATAGTCTCCAGTGTTTAGGAAACGAGTGAAAGTTTCCAATGTGAGAGACATATCACATATATATAGTAAGGAACCCTTGTCTCACTCCAAGCTAGGTCTAAGTCTACTGTGCAAAATGCATTGCTACTTCAATTTATGTGGATGCATTGGAAATGGGATATGATCCAAAACTAATTCATAAGACACTGATCAGATTCTCGTGACTCTTAGGGGCATATGTTTTTTATATGAGATTCCATAATTTGGGGTGAAATTATATATTTTTATCAACAAGATCAGTAGATCACATGTTTCTTCTAAAATATTCTGTTCACCTCAGTAAGGCAAAATTTAAATGAGAATTAGACATTTTTTCATCAATTTTATCTTTAAATCGTTTAACTATACTTTTTTTATATTTATAAAACTCATATTCCACAACTAAAAAAAGATTTTATATTTGCCCCTAGCCACTTAATCACCTACAAGTTCTCGGCATGTAATCCGATGTTTTTTTCTTTTTTCTTGTCAGCAATATCTGAGTAACCAATGGTTCAATCCGATTGCTTTCTTTTTGCAACTCTTTCATCTTTGAACTACACAATTAAAATATTTTAGTGTACATGTTTAAATATCCAGCCTCTACCCGGGATCCTATAAAAATTAAATGGTCGAATCATCTACGGATAAGCAATCAATACACATACAAATAAGTGAAATGAAGACAATATAGGTCACATTCGTTGCTTCTCTCTCTCTCTCTCTCTCTTAAATCTTCCTCTCCTCACAATTTTATTTTATTTTATTTTTCTTAATGATTTTCCTGTGAATGATAAAATAAACTTTTCTTTTTCTTTTAGATATAAAGAATAATTATGTACTTTGTTTCCACTCGTTTGAGACTTAACAAGTTAAGGTCATCTCCAACCCAACACCATAACACAAAATTTGTTGTGAGATTCACTTCAACCCAACTGTATATTTAACACTACAACACCAAAATTTGTGTTTTGTGAACAGTACTACACTATATTTGGTGCTGCACTGTTCACAACACTAAACAATAAAATATTAATTTATTTTTATTTTTATTAAATAATATAATTTGATTATTAGTTATTAGTTAAATATCATCTAGGATTAAAAAACTAAGTATACCATTAATAATTTCGTATTTTTCGTTTTAAATAATATAAAAATATTTTGTTAATATATAAGTTATAAGATATTTTATTTAAAATGCAAATTGATTAATTTTTTATTTTTAATTTATTAGAAAAAATAATGAGTAAAAGATTAAATTATATTATTTTAAATTTGTGATTTAAATCATTTTTAAAAATAATTAGTATTTATAATTTATAATATAATAATAAAAAATAGTATTTAGTGTGAAATTTGATGTTATGGTTAGAGATGAAAAATAAAGTAAAACATTGAAACACCAAATTTGGTGTGATTTCAACACCAAATTTAGTGTTGTGGTTGGAGATGCTATAAGATGAACCGGAAAACAATGAAGTCATCAACGGATTTCTTATCGTTTAATTGATTTAACTAGAAAATAAATCGATGGTGCTTAATTTTCTTGCTACACGTATACCCAAATTCAAATAAAATGTTCTGCTACACGTAGTTTTTTTTGACATCACAACGTGTAGGTGTAGTTTAAATGTTCTGAGATAGTTAAGGTTTGCTGTATTTGGGTTTGAGAGTGACTTTACAATGGGCCATAGGAACTTAGCACTTTGGCCCAAGCTAAGCCATGTTTTCTCCCTTCATAAATTAGCTTCTATCTCTTGCCCTACATTTGAAAATGACTATTCCTTCATTGAAATTGGAGTTCTCTTTCGCCAGCCACATACGATAGTTCTACTAATTTTTTGTTCTTTAATCAAAAATACTCGAAAATCTTTATAAAGCACTCGATAAGAGAAACTTTGATAGACTGTAAAACTCACATTTATGATCTTTCAGCAACATTCTGGTACACATGTCGATTCGGTATATGTTACAAATATATTTGATTGTTTAAACAAATATCGTTTATGTTATTATATTTTTATCGTTCTTGTTATTATATGACCATGCAAACGATAGCTATTATGCAAAAAAATCAACTTTGTAACGTGTTACGGAAACTTAAATGTCGTCGAACAAATATCACCAAAGCATGATGAATATTGGTGTAAGAATAGTTATCGTCCAATTTCTTTTATGAGCTTACTTACTTTATTAATATATAATCAAACAATGGATATACAATGTCAACAAATAAAAAAAAAAACCAAAACCAAAAAATAGGATCTCTGGTTCAACTACATTTGTGACCATTTCCTTATTCAGAAGTTGGTATTCATATTTCATAGTGTCCATGAAAAGAGAAAATACGAAAAAAGTCTACTTATGGAGGACGATGATATTTAGTAAGATTCGTGTGGTGTCTCATCTCGCACGTGCGTCGTTTGTTTTACGTCCTTTGCCGACAGTTTCCCACTGTGGTCAGTCCTAGTCGTACACTCGTACAGACTAGTACCTTTCATTTTTTTTTTTAAATTTTGATTTTACATTATCACAGGAATCTCAAACTCATAATGCTTAGAATATTATGCATTTCTGTTCATAATTTATTTTTGTCCTGATATCCATGAGTGTTTTTTTCGTAACTGTAACTGCAATATATATTTTCATTTAAACAAACAGAATAATATATTCATTAAAAAACATATTTACAGATAGTAACGTACGAATAAATAAAGTAGGGTCCAATGGGAGCAGCCATTGACTTGGAAGCATATGAAATCTGAGAGACAGTTGAGAGGCCCAACAGCCCATCGCCAGCTGGATTTTCCGATTTCTCCTAAAAGGTGGGTCCCATCTTTTAATCCGTACTCCCATAAGTCACGTGACCTCTCCTCCATCTTTCTTCACTATCTCCCCTTCCTTCCCACGTGACCCCTCTCTCCCTCTGTCTCTCGCTTCTTCTCGTCTTCGTCTTCTCTCCTTCATTCCTTCCTCGCAGACGAGAGAGAGCCTCTCTCCGATATGCTCTGTGCCCTCATTGTTATCGACGGTACAATCGATTCTCACCGATCCTTCCTTATTCGACGAATTTCAATTTTTATTTTTATTTTGTTTCCAATACGATTCCCTTCTCGATTCGAGATTGCATTTGATCGTCTTTCATTTGAATTAGATTGGTGTTTAGGATTGGTTAAATTCGATACTCATACGGATCTGCAGATATAATAAGCTTACTATAGGTAAATGCATTTCTCTCTGTTGTTGAATTTGGTATCTACAATGTGGGTTTTATTGATTAGGGAGATTACGAAGTTTCATCATTAGTGCTCTTGTTAAGTGTTTGCGTTTAGGTGATTCTGAAGATTCTCGTAGTGTTCTGTTAATCCCATTCTTGGTTTGCTCAACGAGCTAGCATTAAGATGATTTTAGCTTCTCCATAACTCCTCAAATGTGTGATGATTTTGATTCTTCAGTTTTATTTCCACGGCTGTGTTTTGAATTGTACTCTTTGTGCGGATTTTTTGAGGTTATTCTCGAATCTTTCTGATAATTAATTCTTGTGGGCCAATGTGGGTATAATAACGAATTGATGACATAAAGTTGCTTTACTATATAGTCTTATTGGTTTGCTCATTTTAACCAATCCTGTGGGCGTAACAAAACCTAGTTTTAGCTCATGTCTTTTGCTGTCTGCTGAATTTTTTTTAATTTTATTTTCACTTTCACGCTTCCAGCTAATTTCTGTGTCTTACAAAGGTTACATGTCGTTTTCTCATTTAGTGCAGAAACAAGAGCAGATGGGTCAAATTCTACACCAATCAAAGCATTGTTCTCGTTTTAGAAAGCCTCTTATGGGGTAAAGAGATGGTGGAAACAGTGATACATACCAAAAGAATATCTGAAAGATGGAAGAGAGGCGAGATGAATCAAGCACTTCGCAGCAGGATTCTTCAGAACTTGCGGAGAGGGTTAAGTCACTTTCTTTTGAACCTCAAGGTGAAGCTTTGGTTAGGGAGTCTCCTAGAAGCGTTGAGCAGGATGTCTCTCCAGGTCAAAGAGCATCACAGCATCTTTGGGATACCGGAATGCTTTGTGAGCCGATCCCTAATGGTTTCTACTCGGTTGTCCCGGTGAGCGATATGTCCACTTCCTGATATTCTTGTTTCTTCGCCTGTGTTCTTGTTCCTGCCTTTGTAGATCTCTTCTCTTAGTAGGGTACAATGTGGGATTTTGCTGCAGGATAAGAGAGTCAAGGAACTATACAATAGACTACCAACTCCGAGTGAGCTTTATGCTTTGGGAGAGGAAGGTGTCAGAATTGAAGTTATTCTTGTGGATTTCCAAAAGGACAAGAAGCTCGCAATGCTAAAACAGTTGATCACTACACTTGTCAGCGGCTCAAATCCCGCTTTGGTGATCAAGAAAATAGCTGGAACGGTATGAATTCTGCAACGGACTCTTCTCTCTTTTTGTCACAGTTCCGCATTTATATATTATAGAGTTCATTCTCCTCAAACAGGTATCTGACTTTTACAAACGGCCGACGTTGGAAAGCCCTTCGAAACTTGCTCTAGAGGAAAATGCGTTTCTGTTTGAAAACCATGGTGCTCAGTTGCTTGGCCAAATTAAGCGTGGGTGCTGTCGAGCTCGGGCCATTTTGTTCAAAGTTTTAGCCGATACAGTAGGACTTGAAAGTCGCCTGGTGGTGGTGAGCTCTGTTTCTGAAGTTTCAGCTTTTTCTTCTTTTTGTTGTTTTCTCTAGTTTTTTGCTATTTGCCTCTTACAAAACAACTCGCCTGATTCATATGAGCAGGGTCTCCCTAGTGATGGGACTGTGGATTGCATGGACTCTAACAAACACATGTCTGTTATAGTTGTGCTGAACTCCGTTGAACTTCTAGTTGATCTAATCCGGTTTCCTGGTCAGTTGGTACCTCGATCAGCCAAGGCAATTTTCATGTCACACATCACACCTGCTGGAGAGAGTGATTCTGCAGAAAACGACTCTTGTGACTCACCTTTGGAGCCAAATAGTCCTTTATACGAGAGAAGAGATCCTGAGAGGTCTGCTTCCGCTGTGTGGTTTTCTTTCTGGAGCATATCACAGTTAGCACATCTCTTCTGATATGCTTTCCCTGGAGTGATATAATTTTTTTCCTATGTTACAGTACAGAAAAAGATGAGAATCTTCAGTTTCATCGGAAGTTAGAAGGATATTCAAACGCATCCGGTCAATCATTGCATAATTTGATGCTCAGACCTGCTACAGCTCTTGATAGAAAATTGAGGTAACTGTTACATATAATTCTGACAAATTGTATAATGGAATCAATACAATGATGGATATATGATAGAAGATGTGCTTTTCTTCCTTCAGCAACACCTCGCATAGTGAACCAAACATTGCCACTGTTTTCTGGAGACGTAGCCGCAGAAAAGTGATTGCTGAACAGAGAACAGCTAGCTCGAGGTTTTCCCTTGCTCTTTCTGGCTTGTACTATAGTAATCAAAAGTAAACTTACATTGGTACGACCTCTTGTTGTCTCTAGATATAGACATATAGTAATGAGTTGGAAAACGTAAAATGTCTGTTTCTCCTCTTTTTGCGGCTTCTATATTCTTGATGAAAATGTCTCTGAGCCAATTTAATTAGCGATTCTTTACGAGTTATCTTTACTGTGCCTTTCGAGATTTTCCCTTACTTTCTTTATACTCAACTTATGACAGTTGGCAATTTGTTACATTTGCAGCCCAGAACACCCATCTTTGCGATCACGTGGAAGATCATTGTTGAGTACTGGCAGGAATTCATGTAGGGATTACGCTGGTGACGCATCTCCTTCAAGGTAGCTCATTTTTTACATTTGTACATGCCCAATTTTCAGTAGGTCATTCCTTTCCTATACATCTAGTTAGCATGTTTGTCTGAACATTCCAGTTTTAGTTAAGTTGCTTATACAAGTCTGCATGGTTTAATATTTGCTACGTTTTTCATATTTGCTCCTTATATGTTAAAGTCAACTTGTCTTTGTTATTTCAATCCAAGGCAGTAATATTATGCGTTACTAATCTTGCATTGGTTGTCAGAATTCTGATCTGATTCTATTGGCTGTGCAAGCAATTTTTGATATTATCTAGCTTTCAAACAGTTCATCTGCATCAGAAATTCGTAAAAGTAGACGGCGAGGTTTCAGGATGACACCAGAGATTGGAGATGACATTGCAAGGTTGGTATTCTCTTCCGTGTGCATCGTTTCTTCTTTCATCGTTTAGCAGCATTTGTGTCATTATCAGCTTGCATAGTAAAGGCTCTATATTCGAGTCTAGTCTGTTAGTCTATATTGGTAAGGTAATTTGAATATCTACAATCATCTTAACAGCTAGTAGATCACATGGAATTACTGCATGAGTGTCATCTAGAATGCACAACTGTTATCTCCAAACTTTTAGATGCTTAGGTGTCTGTAAGATGGTGATATGATTGACAACTATATCTTCACTCTCATAGTCATAAAGCCTTCCAGCCATATAATAGGAACTCCTTCTACCTTTATGATAATGGTACTGAAAATCGTGAGAAAGAACTCATGGAGAGTTATCTGTGATTTTAGATTTGCTTGTGTATTGACTCTGATGTTACTAATTATTGAAGCGCTGTACGAGAAATGTATGAGAAAGCAAAGCAAACCCGTCTCTTGCATGGACGAGAGGAGGGAAACAGCTCAGGTATCGATAACAATGTAAGTTTAGGATCTCTGTTAGTAAGAGTGACGGTTGTGTTGTATTACTTCTCTTCCTATTGTTTAACCAGTCTAAAAGTTCTGAGTTTCTCCAGAAGGTCATTACACTAAGACGTTGTGTCTATTACACTAAGAACTCTAAATTTCTTGTTCTTTCGATTGTGCTTTTCCAGGTGTCTGGTCTCCATCTTGACGATGACTTAAATTCTAAGAAGACAATGTCATTGCCATCATCTCCACATGCTTACAGGAGTCAAGGATTTGGACGAAGAGGGCCTTCAGACTTTGCCGTGAAGGATACATGGAATAAAGTGGTTGAGTCTTCCACATTACAGAATCAGCCTTTATTACCCTATCAAGAATGGGACATTGACTTCTCAGAGCTGACTGTTGGAACTCGGGTTGGGATTGGTAAGCTGCTCTAAATTTTCTACTAAGTACTACCTTAGACAATGCTCGGGTGTAAATTGTGTTTTGACTTGCCAATTATTGTTAATAATCTTTCTTTCGCACAAGAGTGTTGTGTGCAATTCTTTGATCATGGACACATGATCCTTTTAAACCTAACTGTAGATAAAGTCTGAGCTATGAGGCTTATTTAGTTTGCTATATCCGACGTCTTTTGAAAATTCAAGAACTTTTAATATTATGTCCGTCTGTTAACTAAATCTCAAAAACTTTCAGATAAAGAAATTTTTGTTTTGTAATTTGTATCTAGGTTTTTTTGGTGAAGTTTTTCGTGGAGTGTGGAATGGGACAGATGTTGCAATCAAATTGTTTCTGGAGCAAGATCTTACTGCCGAAAACATGGAAGATTTCTGCAATGAGATATCGATTCTCAGGTATCTTGTTACCAAATTCTAGGTTATTCTTGGATCAATCCCTGTGTACATCTACTAATGGTTTTGAATGTTTTTCTCGGGCTTCTGCGGCTCTCCTCAGCCGTGTTCGTCACCCAAATGGTATTTTTGTTCTCACAACCTCTCGCTTTTTCTTTTGTCATGTTTCTGAAGTGATTTGTGGAGATATGCATGTCTGAGACCATTTCGTTCATTTACCTTTCTCAGACAATTTGTGATCTATGTTTTTGCAGTTGTACTATTTCTGGGTGCATGCACGAAACCTCCACGCTTATCCATGATCACAGAATACATGGAGCTGGGATCTTTGTATTATTTGATCCACATGAGTGGTCAGAAGAAGAAACTTAGCTGGCACAGAAAGCTCAGGATGCTAAGAGACATCTGCAGGTACATAGCTTGCTTATATAGTTGGCCAACTTATTCTGTTCCTTTTCTGCCCTTAATGCTCTAAAGTGTGGATCATGGTTTGTGAATCTCTGAGGATTAGCAGAATGGTATGCATAAAATATGAACACTGATTATTTTAGGATGCACCATTGACTACCTGTGGCTTATTATGTCATCTTTCTTTTAGTTATCAGTTCCTTATTATATCTCAGTGGAGTGAGCAAACTTGAATGACATCCATTAACTAATGATAGGCTAGGTTGCACTCTTCTGCATAAGAAACAATATGTTATTAATTCTAGGCATTCCTTAACATCTTTCCCTAGATGATTTGTTTGAAGCTACACATATGCGTAATTCATGTTGTTTTGTATCTTTTATGGGATGCTGCAGGGGTTTGATGTGCATACACCGGATGAAAGTAGTTCACCGTGATCTAAAAAGTGCCAACTGTCTCGTGGACAAACATTGGACGGTCAAGATCTGTGATTTTGGACTCTCAAGAATAACGACTGATGAAAACATGAAGGACACTTCGTCTGCTGGTACACCAGAGTGGATGGCTCCAGAACTCATCCGCAACGAACCTTTCACAGAGAAATGTGATATCTTTAGCCTTGGGGTCATAATGTGGGAGCTTTCTACTTTACGTAAACCATGGGAAGGTGTTCCACCTGAGAAGGTACAATAAGCTGTGCCATGATTCTTCTAGTGATGTTCATTATTTGAGAGTTAAATAATACCTTGTGAATTGGATTGATTCATGAGTTTTGCTTCTTAGGTTATATTTGCTGTGGCGCATGAAAAGTCACGTCTTGAGATTCCTGACGGTCCACTCAGCAAACTTATTGCAGGTTCAATACTGTTAAACACCGTAGTTTCTTGAACATTTTAATTGATCTTTTTTCGTTTATTCTCTAATATTACTCAACTTCTACAGTCTGAGTAAAGGCTACCATGTTTTATCTGTAGATTGTTGGGCAGAGCCTCAAGAACGCCCAAATTGTGAAGAGATACTTAGAGGCTTGCTCGATTGTGAGTACACACTGTGTTAGCACCACTTCTCTGTGAAGAAGGGATATGAGCTTGAAGATGTTTTTAGCTTAAAAAAAGCAGCGCAGCATCCTTTGGATCTCTGCAAACCTGAGTGACATAACTTCTTAAGAGCTCAAGGATCTGTTGAGGGGAAGTTCTTAGTTCAGTTTTGATAGCTGTGGAACATTCATGAACGAGGCACCAAATGTAAACACAAACAAGCCGCGTCTGGTTGTGATTCAGTGAGTTTTTGTTGGTTAGTGAAGAGCATTTTGGTCTATTTTAAGAAAAATATATGTACAATGTTAATTCTTATTTGCAAAGAATAAATAGCTCTTTGATCTGTATTTTCTTCATCCATTATCTCTTGTGCCTTACGCACTTTCTTTCTTTATTTATTTCTTGTCAAGCAATCTGTGCCACAGTACTCACACATAGTGATGGTCATTTGAATTTTGAAGAGTTTCAAGGCAGAAGAAAAAAAAAGGAACAATTATGAATTACTTAGGAAACATGTACATGTGGAGAGCTCGTCGAGGACTCGGGTGTATCAAATTCTGAAAGCCCACCACACGATTGGCCCAGCTTTATTTAGGGTTTCTGTATTCACAGCCTCTACCTTTAGCCGCAAGAATCAGAAAAAACCCTAGTTGCAAATTGAAACAATGGTGATGATCTCCGATCTTCCGAGGGATCTGGTAAAGGAGATTCTCTCTAGAATTCCCTTGAAATCTATGGGAGTATGGCGATCAACCTGCAAAAATTGGAACACTTTATCCAAAAGCAAGAGATTTTCAAAGTTGCAGATTGATAAAGCAGGAGCAACAATAGTAGGGGAGCCATGGATGATGGTGATGATGGATTCAAAATTTCACTTAGTGAGGGGTGATCTATCTACGGAGCCTAGTTGCCAACTCAGTTGCGTTAGCGAGCAAGTCAAGATATCTAAAGTTTTTCACTGCGAGTGTTTACTAAGGTTATGATTTGGAATCCGTATTTGGGGAAGACAAGGTGGTTCTGGGTCAACAACATATATTTTCACCATGACATGTACTTCAACTACGCTTTCGGATACGAGGATAAGAGAGACAAATCTTGTCGTACCCACAAGTTCTTGAGGTTTAAATATTATACACCCAAAGACCACTTCGTACGCTCTGAGACATATGATTTTGACTCTGGTTTATGGACAAGTGTTGATGTCGCTCCACACTGTGTTATAGAGCAGCCTGGCGTTTCTCTAAAGGGAAACACTTATTGGCCTGCTAGAGAAAGGAACTCACGTGACCTCGGCGATAATTACATAATCTGTTTTGATTTTACAAGAGAGAGATTTGGGCCGCTTATGCCTCTTCCGTATAACCTTCATGATGATGATGATGATGATGAAGAAGGATATGAATGGGTGGAATTAGCTTGTGTTAGAGAAGAGAAGCTTGCGGCTTTGCTTCCGCACACCTATTCAAATCCATATGAGCTTGAGATATGGATTACAACTAAGATTGGGACCGAAGAGGTGTCGTTGTGCAAGTTCTTGCGATTGGAAACGTATACCACAACAGTTCCAGTTTTAACTCATGGTTTCTTCATTGACGAGGAGAAGAAAATCGCCATGGGTTTTGATGGAGGTCTTCCCATAAAACTAAACATCATTGGAGATGATGGATACTTTAGAGAATTGGATGTCCTCGGAGCACCTGGAGACCAAAGGTACTGTATGCCACCTATGTGTTCTTCTTATGTTCCAAGTTTGGTCCATATCAAGAAACCTGCACGTGGCCAAAACAGGAAAAAAAAAACAAAGCGACGTAGAAAAGCGTCGACTGCAAAAGCGAGTCAATGAGGTAATCTGCATGAGGAGGTAAAAGGAGAAAACGAGAAGGTTAGCCCTTAATTTGCAAACTTTAATTTATGCCTTTCATTTACTTTCTTGTTCTCCTCGAATAAAGATTTGTTATTTTCTTCCAGTATCTATATATATATATAATAGCAAAATAATTTTTTGAGAAGTACTGATGTCAATCATTTTTTATACGTTAAAGTTGTTTTGATTAATTTTGATTTAAAAATTTAATGGTTAGAATGAGATTGCTGATATCATCCTTTAATAGTTAAAAATATGTAGATGTAACGGTTATTATTCCTTTATTATTATTAAATGACGAAAATTATATTTGTTTTATTTACTAAACAGATATATATACTTAAAATATTGCGATTTTATAAACTATTGTGATTTTTTGTTTTGATTGCTAAAAAACACTAGAAATTTAACAAATAGTAAAATCTAATTTCTATACATAGCTACTACTTAATTATATATGAACCAATATTAATAACACATGGTAACATGATGTACTATGATTTTACTGATTTCTAATTGGTTTTCAAAGGTTTTTATCGAGTCTTTTTAGTGTTTTTAGAGTCTTTACAGGTCAAAACACGTTTGGATGGATTCCAAGACAATGCAAATGAAGAAATGAAGAAAATGAGCAAATTCAGTCTTTTTCGGAGTGCAGATCGATCGGTCCTATATTGGATCGATCGATCCAAAGGAAGCGAGGAGACAAGGTTTTGCTCGAGAGAGGGATCGATCGATCCCACACCGGATCGATCGATCCGCTTGGACGAAGTTTTCCCGAGACATTTTAGATCGATCAATCCAGGAGGGACTGATCGATCCGATGAATCCAAGTTTTTCCCGTGAGTAATTAGATCGATCGGTCCACTTTGGACCGATCGATCCGATGTCTTAACCACCCGGTTTAGTCGCACAGAAAAATAAGGAAATTTCGGTTTTGCCTATTTCGACTTGGTTTTCCATAATTTTTCATCTAGCTCGTGTCTAGACCTATAAAGACTTATTTTTCAGCCATTGTTTAGGCTACCTTTATTTTTCTATTCAGACTTAGAGCTTTTGGCAATTTGTGAGTTTGGGGAGACGATCTTTGTACTCTGCATCTCTGAGAAGATTTCTGAACCCCAGTTGATTTCTATTTTATTATTTATGAATTTCTCTTCATCTCTTTGCTTTTCTTCTTCTTCCATGTCTGAGTAATCCAATTAGGTTTAGGGTTTCAATGGGATTATGAATTATTGAATCAGATATAAATAGGGTTATTTCAATTGTTGTCTTCATTTATCATTGATCTCATTGCTGAAACTTGATTAGCTACCCAGTTTCTGATTCTAGGTTGTTTAGCACACCAAAAGTGTTTGTTTAAAAGCCTGAAAGAAACATAGATGAGCAGACTGTCCTTAACCAACGAAAGCTGATGTTAAGGCAATCTGTGAACGAATCGAACCTGATCGCTAATGCCTGTTTACAATTCTAAGTTCAAACGACAGTTTAGAATCTTAGGTTGTTAGATAGAGTCTCTGCTACCACGACAGTGGATTAGCTATACATTCATGTTTGAGTTCAAGACTGTGCTTATCTGCTCTTTGAATAATTGTCTGGTTCATGATATCTGATCCCTGCGAATTGCCCTTTACCTAACGCCTGTTTTTAATTGATCTTTTATTGAATTTAATTGCTATTTTTGTTTTGCATTACATTCAACAGTCATCACATTGTCTTAGCTCCACTTCATTCATTAAGAATCATAGCCAGTAACCTTGGTCTCTGTGGATTCAATCCCATATATATTACTGCGATTGTCTGTGTACTTGCAGTCTTTTATTTGGGTAAAACCTGAGTGTATCAAGTTTTTGGCGCCGTTGCCGGGGACCAATAGCATTATCTGTGAATCTAGGATTGAAGTTTAGTCTAAGATTTACTAACTATTTTCTTCTTTCACCCTTGTGGATTCAGGTGCATGCATAGAAGAAGTAAAGGTTCTGACAACCTCCTCCTTCTTAACAACCAGGAACTTGCAAGAGTTGAAAGGACAAACAACAAAGGAAGGAAAAAGAAGTCGAACCAAGTCACGATGGGTGATAATGTCGACGGTCAGGATTTACCAGAGGGTCAAGCTAACCAAGCTACAGAGCTCCAGCGTATGCAACAGCAGCTGAACAGGTTGCTACAGCAACAACAGCGGCAGCAAGAGCAGCAAGCTATTGGGGATGTGGATACACCTCACACCTTCTACAGGAACAAAGCTGCTATCCGCATACCAGCTATTGAGAGAGCAGACTATGAGATAAAACCGCAGATGATTGCATTGGTGAAGCAACATCTGTTCCATGGCCTCTCTGCTGAGCTTCCAATGGATCACATTGAGAATTTTGAGGAGATCTGCAGCACAACAAAATCGAATGGAGTACCTGCTGACTTTCTCAAATGCAAGCTCTTTCCATTCTCCTTGGCTGACAAAGCAAAAAGATGGCTTAAATCCCTTCCTCCTGGCTCTTTGACAAACTGGAGTGAATGCAGAGCAGCATTCCTGGACCACTTCTACACCAAGTCCAAAACTGATGCTTTGAGGAACAAGATCACCACCTTCCAGCAGCATTCAGGGGAATCTTTCTGTGAAGCATGGGAGAGGTTTAAGGAATACCGCAGAGAGTGCCCTCACCATGGGTATTCAGATGAGCAGTTCCTAAGCATCTTCTATGATGGAGTAGAATGGGAGTTCAAAAATAATCTCAATGCTGCAAGCAATGGAGATTTCATGACCATGAGCACTCAGAAGGCATATGAGCTGATTGAGAACTTAGCTGCAAGTTCTAATAACAGATGCCCTGAGTATGACAGATCAAGAAGAGTCAGCAGTGTGGAATCTCAGAAGATAGAGGAGCTGACTGCTCAAGTTAGTCTTCTGCTGAAGGCAACTCAGAAGGGAGGACAGAATTGTGAAAATGGATCTGATGCCTTTCTTTGTCAAGATTTTGCAGAGGAAGAGAACAATGAGCTGCAGGAAGTTAGCTATGTGAATGGCCAGCCATTTATGCAAAACAGGGGGTTCAACCAGAACTACAGAAACCATCCAAACTTGTCCTACATGAGCACAAATCTCGAAAATCCACAGGATCAAGTCTACCCTCAACAGATGGTCAACCAGGCGCCTCAGTTCCAAGGAAAGGCATATATGCCAAATGCTGGCGCCAATGGTATTTCCCAAGGGTTTTCAGGACAGGCAGGAATGCAGAACCAAGGATTTCAGATGAACTTCTCTCAAGGTTTTCAAGGAAATCAAGGCTTCATGCAAAATCAGGGTCAGAACAGATTTCAGAGTGGATTTCAGCAGAAACAACCATTCAACACTTTTCAGTCTACAACACCAATGCCCTTCCAAGCCTCTACAAGCTCTACAGGAGGTTCTCAGGATGAACTCAAGAATCTTATGCAACAACTCTTGGTCAATCAGCAGAAATCTTCCCATGAGATCAATACCAAGGTTGACAACATGTACAATGACCTGAATGGCAAGTATGAAGCTTTGAACACTCATGTGAAGAAGCTCGACACTCAGGTAGCTCAAACTGCTGAGGCAATCAAGAGACCACACGGTTTTCTTCCAGGGAAAGGTGAACAAAATCCAAAAGAGTTTGTGAATGCCATTTCACTTAGGATTGGAAAGGTACTAGGACCTATGTCCCAAAGAGGAGATATGGCTGATGTTGTGACTGATCCAGAAGGGAGAATGACAACAGAACCTGAGGAGGACAAGAACACCACATATGGACACACTGAAGTAGAGAAAGACCTGCTGCCGCCAGCCAGAGTCTATGTCCCAAAGGTTCCTTACCCTACTCCTCCAAAGAAGTCTAGGAAGAACCTGGAGGAGGCAAAATGCAGGGAGATGGTAAATGATCTGGTTGTGAAGCTTCCTCTAGCTGATGCAATCCAGATGATGCCTGCAATGAAGAGATACATGAAGAGCCTAGTAATAAGCAAGATGACTGGAGAGGAAGACTTCATCAAAGTAACAAAAGATTGCAGTGCTGTTCTCCAAAACAAAATGCCTAAGAAGTTGGATGACCCTGGGCGTTTTGTTCTCTCAGTGCAGATTGGAGCAATGACTTTTGCTTGTTCTTTATGTGATCTGGGCTCAAGTGTCAACTTGATGCCATATTCAGAGGCTAAAAGACTTGGATTCATAAAGTTTAAGCCAACAAAGATCTCCTTGGTTTTTGCTGATAGATCTGTAAAGCTGCCAGTTGGAATCCTTGAAGATCTGCATGTGAAGGTTGGCAATGCATATGTACCTGCAGATTTCGTGGTACTTGAGCTAGATGAAGAACCAAAGGACCCTTTCATCCTAGGGAGACCTTTTATATGCACTGCTGGAGCCATAATTGATGTCAGAAGTGGGAGGATAGACCTTCATCTTGGAGACATCATCCTGAAGTTTGAGATAGATAAAATGCTGAAGAAACCTATGCTTGGTGGGCAAACCTTCTCAGTGGATGACTCTCTAGAAATTTCATAAGATGCTGCTGCATAACTTATGGTACAAGACCCATTGGAGATTGCCTTAACACAAGTTGCAAGTGAACATGGATTTTTGAACCAAGAGGCAGCTGAATATGCAAGAATGATGGACTCCAACAGAACCATAGAGAAAATGGTCGCCCACCTCAGTCTTGATGGAGCTGAATGTGCACATCCAGCAAGGACCCAACCAAAACCACAAGCATCCACGTGGAGTGAGCTGAAAGCTCCAAAAGTTGAGCTTAAAACACTTCCTGAGGGGCTAAGGTACGCCTTTCTTGGTCCTAACTCCACTTATCCTGTCATCATCAATGCTAAACTGAACAATGCTGAAACTGCTTTGCTTTTGTGTGAACTTAGAAAGTATCGCAGATCCATAGGTTATTCATTAGATGACATCACATGAATTTCACCTGATCTTTGTATGCATAGGATACATCTAGAAGATGAATCAATGACTT